ATACAGATATTCCAAAATTTACCTTTTTTTTAATAAATATAGTCTAAATATTTCACATACTATGATAAAACAGAAAAACCATGAAAATCCACTCTAGCCAGGACACTTTCAGAATGCGTTTTAAGAGCATTAGAAGCATTAACAACATCTTTGTGTCCTAATACTAAAGAGAAAGAAATATGAGAAGCAATATCAGAAACAACAACGGTCTAAACAAGTTGAGTCTAAACAATTTGAGCATCAATATCAACTAAAGTTTCAAAATTATCTCCTTAGTTAATTTTAACATTAGCTTCACCATCATCTTTTGTAACATTATCATCAACATCAAGAAAGAATGGACCATCAGTCTTATCATTATATTCATCATTACAAGACTCTTCACCATCACTAATAATAAGTCTTTCCTTTTGAATAACTTTCCCCTATAAAAGCAAAAAATGAAGATGAAATACATATCTTAAAAAAAATGAGAACAAGAAAAATGAAAAAAACTTACTTTATGAGAAGACACATATTTCTCTTTCGATTGACATGAAGCATGAGAAACAACAATACTAGTGGTTTTCTTTATTTATTTGATTCTCACATTTTTTTTTCTTTTTTCCTTGGATGAAACATGTATCAAGCGCAAAGATATATCATTCTTTGTAACATTCAGAATTGGGAGATGGTTTTTAGAATTAGATAATAGCTTGCAAAAGGTTTTCCAATTAGAAATACACTCATCCCAATAAGCAAGCCATCTAAGACCATTGTAGCTAACTCTATCAAATGCTGGTACAACATAACATCTAACCTCTTTACATTTTTTCTGAACCTTATAAAAAAGAAACTCAAAAACACAAGAGGAGAAATCTTCATCCAAAGGTGTAAAAAGAGCACGCAGAATCATTTGATCATACCTAAATTAATGTGCAACTCTACACATTGAATATACTTCAACGAAACGTGAATCTCTATCAATGCCAACACTAATACTCTTCTATCATAGAAGGCAACATAATACAGTCGACCCAAAAAAAAAAAGCTTAATTTCTTGCTAGCTTAATGTCTAAGAATGAGGTTAGCTTAGAGTACCATAGTAAAAAACAAGATCACCATAGCCATTTTTCGTCGTATGTATAGGCACTAAACAAACTCCTTGGCTATATCTAACACTTCAAGAACATTTCTCTTTATAATTTGATTATGCCATGCCTAAGCACTATAATTATTTTTGTAGAGAAAGCTAGATGAAAAAATTGTAGGTAGAGGATACAGATTAGGTATCGAAGTACAAACACTGAATCTTTCCCACAACCACATTTGAATAAAAGAAATATCAATATATGTCAGAATCTTATACTGACCAATTGATGTTTCAGTCTTGGAAATATATAAATCCAATCGCCTATAAAGTAATACCAAATAGAAAAGAGCTAATGAGAAACACATACCTTTAGCAATTTTAATAGCTATAGAAATAAGAGTTGGACTATTTCCATCATTTGGACATCCTGAAAATACATGTCGAGCTAATCACATCATTAACAGTGTTTTCAATTCATAATCAGAATCAAAAAATTTAAGAGAGTTACTTTCATCTTCTTTTAGTCTGAACTTAAAAAAAAAAGTCCAACCCAATTAAAAAATCGAGTTGCCTTTGATTTCTCCTTTTGACATTCGAGTAAATCACAAAATAAGTTATGAATTTTCTCTTCCTCTTCAAACAATTCAATAGTACAAATATTATATCTCTCTAGACAAGGAAGTTCAAGAAGAACACATATATCTTCAAGAGTAAAAGTGAATTATCCCTCTGCAGTGATCATAGTATGAGAAAAAGTACTCCATCTAGCAAGAATAGCACACCATACATCCATTTTACGTTTCCTTCAAATATGAAGTTTAGAGGTAACTCGTACAACATTAAGCACTCCTATTAAAGACAAAACTTTTGCATAAACAGGCTTTTCAATTACTTTGTTCACCCAATCTTCCCAACCTTGAGCAGGTTGCAAATTTGAACCAAAGTTAGTAACAGAAAGTGAAAATTCTCCATATTTAAACTTGAACTTTAGAATAAAAAAGCCTAGAATATAAACTCTATAAGTTGATGCTTCAGAACCAATACTTTACCAAGAATAGCCAACAGGAGCACTTTGATAAGAAGAAAATTTTTTCTCATCCACTTGTTCCTAAAAATGATCGTTTCCTTCTTTTCTAATGATTTTATCTTACCAATCTTCGAGAACATAACTACATAATTCTTTTTAATGCACAAATCTTTTCAAGACGCGTTTTTGGAATAGAATCTTCTAGAATATTATTTTTTTCTATTCCTCAAAGGAGCTCAAGCAGTGCAAGAAGGCTGGCTATAATTGATTCTCAGCATTGAAAGTGAAAAATATCTACAAGAAATTGACAACAAAATTCAGATAAGTTTTTCTTAAACACACACAATAAATTTTCTATTTATTCTAAAAAAATCAAAAATCAAATAGCCTAAAAAAAATCAAATAGTAAAAAAAATAGATAAATACTTACTTGTTCACAATATCAAAATTTTTTCAAAGGAATTAGACTTTTATTTAACTTTGCATTGAAAATTTTCTCAATATAATTTATAGAGTCAAAAGAATCAATTTTTTAATAACAAACATTTATTTTTCTTATTTAAAAAGATCTTTAATAAAATCTTTAAAAATTTAATTTTATTCTTCAAATTTCATTAGATTTTATTCTTAAAAATTTTTAACACTTTTTGATATCCTATATAATATTTTACTATATTGTTCTAGTAATTCCTTTCAAGAATAAGATTCATTTCATTATCTATTTAATTATTTTACTTATTTTATTTTTTCTCGAAATATATGCCATAAGATTTCATATAATGCTCCATATTCTTAGTTTTAAATCTAAATCAATTATAAGTAATAAAAATAATAATAATAAACAAAAACAAAAAAGTCAAAGATTCCTACCATTCAAGTTCAAAGTCAATGAGTTAAAATTGGCCTTATTCCTTTTGTTTCAATGTAAAACACTTGACTTAAACATCAAAACATGTATAATATGTATTTTTGACGTTGAGGCATATATTGACTTAAACATATAATAATTACCTACATTGATTTAGCATTTTCATAAATCATGAAGATTTATTTATTTTACACATGGTTTTCTTTTAAGGAAATGGTGTAAGAATAAAATAGAATAGCTTCATTATTTGTTATTTTATTTTATTTTATTTTACTTTTGAGAAACATTTTTATTATCTATTCTTTTTAATAATTTTTCTATTTTTTACTTATTCTTTTTAATAATTCTTTTATGTTTTAAGGAAACACTCCCATTACCTATTTCTTTTAATAATTTTTTTATTTTTTAGGGAAACACTCTCTTACCTATTCCTTTTAATAGTTCTCTTATTTTTTAGGGAAACACTTTTATTACTTATTCTCTTTTTTTTTTTAAAGAAACACTTTCACTACTTATTCTCCTATTTTCTCCAAAAAACACTTTCACTACTTATACTTTTTTTTTTTTTTTAGAAACACTAATGTTATGGCCTACACTTTGATGCATCACTCATCTAACAAGTAATTCTTTTATTTACAACATTAAAATTTGCTTATTCTATGCATCAAACATTCTTTAATTTTCATCAAACAATTTTCATGCAAGGAGCAATGAATCCACACATATAAAGTCACAAATATATATATATATATATATTTATATATATATATTTTTTCTTTCATGAAACTTATATCATACATCTTTAAATTACAAGAATAAATATATTTTTTTATTTTTTTTTTTTTTTTTTCTTTTACTCTTTCATTATACTAGTGCATGAGAACTTTTTATACTAAAAATTCTCATGCAGTGGGCAAAATATAGATAGTTGATTTTGGTTACTAATATTTTATTGTTTTAAATTTCACTAAAGTTGTTAAATTGAAAATAAGTCAAAACAAGTGTTAAGACTGTTTCAATTAATGTTATTTTACATAACAGGTGATAAGATTGTTTTAGTGAAGGTTATTTTATGAAACAACTATTCATAGAACAGCCCTTTTATAGAATAGATGTTTACGAAATAACTATTCAAGGAACTACTTCTTCATGAAACAACTGTTCTTGGAACAACTTTCTCAAGGAACAAAAGCAATACCTTTACCTAAAACTCTTGAATTACAAGTTGCTTCACTAAGAGTTATTCCACAAAAAACACTTCATCGAATGTTACTTCACTGAAAAAAGAAGTGAAAATAACCTAACAATATGATAAGGTTCTTGGGTTAATTCCATTATTGGGATGTTTCGAAGAGTTTGGCTTGATGGATCAGATATAGGGATAGTTAAAAGGTTTCCTCTTAACCTTTCCTTGAAATATCAATGCTTCTCATTTTCTTTCAAAATAGATAGTGAAATTCTATATTTACTATACCTATCACTAAAAGCGAATTAAACTCCTATTAATCAATACATTAATACCTTTTGTAACAGTCAATTCTCCTATTATTCACCATTATTCCTATTCAATACTCAAGATATGTAACTCATATTCTTAATGATCTATAAATAAGAGTTTCCACAGTTTATTGGGAGATTGTTGGAGACTTTTGCCAAACTTACTCAATTCTCTCTGCAATTCTTTCTTCCTAAATCATTTTCTTGATCTCATTCTCTTATTTACTCAACCTTACTTCACCACCTATCACTATCTGCTACTGCACTCAATACTTCAAGGTCTGCTCCAATTTTCCTCTCTATCGTCTCCTGACACATCTTGTTTTACTTATTTGCAACACTTCCTCACTTCAACGAAGAACCTATTTACAACTACTTTTCCAAAATGTTTAGTGCATTCAAGATGCAACTTTGATCTGTGAATGAGAAGATCAGAATTATCTTCAACTTGTGGACAATCAAACAGCACCTGACTAAAGTATCTAGTCCATTCCTTTAATTTTATTATCCTCTTGGAGACCTAGACAAATATGGGCAGTGTCATGGATGTGGAGTGCATACTTGTAAGGATGGCAGCAAGTATGTGGGGGAGTTCAAGTGGGGTGTCAAGCATGGGCTTGGTCATTACCATTTCAGGTGAATTCTTGATCTTTCTTCTTTGGATAGATTAAGTAAAGAAAGATTATTAGATTTTTATGTTGCTTTGTCTGGTATATATTTGATCATTGAATGTGGGGAAAGCACCAGAGGCTTGGAACTTTTGATTGCTGTGTTTCTATTTCACTATCTTGAGTTATTTAATTCGGATCTGTACAATTTTGGAGTCTTTGGATACGGTATTGTTTGTTCTAATTATAGATTTTGAAACTGGTAGTTAGAGCTCGTGTTGTTCATATGTTCTGATGGTTAAATCTCACATTTTTTAGTCTTTTAGTATCAGGCTGTAGATATAGAATAGACGACTTATTTTCGATTATTGAACTACTTCTCACCTAGTGAAGTTGCAGCACAGAGTTCAAAAGACTGTTGACTTTTGGCTTTTGAATGCTGATATTGTTGATAAAAGCCATCCGTGCAAGGTTCTCAAATTGCTTCTTTGTGGGGAGTACGTTAATAAAAGATTATTCTTTTATTTTTTGATTTGGGGGAAGGGGGATTCAAATGCACTTACCATTGAGCCAAATGTCCGGCAGTTTGTTCTTTCATTGTTTGGAATTTTCAAACTGGTTGAAAATTACTTGTTTGGAATTTTCAAACTGGTTGAAAATTATCTGGAACTTAGAGTCATCATTTATTGAGTAATTATGGGATACAACCATATGCCTAAATGTAGATTTCAGTTTTAATGACTGTTCAATTTTGTGATCCTAATGCAGAAATGGAGACATATATTTTGGGGAATATTTTGCTGACAAGATGCATGGTTTTGGAGTTTATCAATTTGGAAATGGACACCGATATGAGGGAGCCTGGCATGAGGGAAGAAGGCAGGGATTTGGTACATATACTTTCAGAAATGGTGAGACACAATCTGGTCACTGGCAGAATGGGGTTCTCGAGATTCTTAGCGCACAAAACACCCATCTTGGATCCCCCTATGCTGTCACTCAATCCAGAGTCCTTAATGCTGTTCAGGTATCGTTCGTATCATTGTCTGGCCTCTATCTGGCTTCACTAACAGTTGATATATCATTCCTTTGCTCTTTGCATAAAACTTTCTGCCTGAATACCAACAAGTTCACCTGAAAATACACCAAATTTTATAGTTAAAAATGAGGCAAGATCAGTTTCCTAAGAAAACACAAAAGACCAATAAAAATTGCAAAATAATCAACCTCACATTAATACTCCGCCAACCAGACACATAATAATTCATTCTAGAGATGCAATAACCACCATTAAGCTGCTCTTTACACTGATCAGTTTAGTAAACTTTCAAGCCAATGTGCAAGCACTAGATTAGATTGATGCACATTACCATGCAATTGAACAAAATGTTGCAACATGGTGGTTTATAATAATAATGCCACATGATAACTTCCATTGTATTTGTCATACCACGGCAACAGTGGTGACTTAGATGTCAATTGAAATGCTACCCGCAATTGAAAATCGTAAGTCTTCTAGCTACTGTATGTTAAGTCAATTTTAGAGTGCTCAGTAGCTAGTTTTTAAGTTTACAGAAGTGTTGCAAACAAACTGCAGTAGAATTGGAATCGGATTGCAGTTGAATTGCATGAAATATGGCATTGCATTGTACTAGTAGTGTCAAAAAGAAAATGTCAGTAAAATCATGTGCTGCTCTTAGAGCAAATCAAGTACTTCCATAGCAACTGTAGAAGAAACCACCCAAAAGACAAACACATAGAAAGAAATAATGGAATTTGAAAGACAAAATACTACCACGTTCATGCAGGGCCTATTGAATGGATAGATTGATCAGTGTCTCGGAAACAGCTCCATCGAGGGTAAAACCCTTCTTCATCATTTGATCCCATACTTTGCAAGCCTTAGAGAGCTTCTTTTCCCGTATGAGCCCTTCAATTATCAATTTGAAAGTTACCTCATCTGGAGAGAATCCTTTGGTCTCCATTTCCTCGTATAGATGTTTGGCTTCAGTTACTCTGTTAGACTTGCAAAACTCGTTTAATTATGAGGGCATTGTATGAAATCACATCAGGATTGAGCCCCTGAATTATCATGTCATCTAAATTACTGACTTTCCCACTTTTGCAAAGATGGTCAATAATTGTAGTAAAGAAAATACGATGAGGCAACATACACATCCCTGATATCCGATCAAGAAGTGCTTTTGCTATATCAGAACCACCTTCGTTAAGAAAAACTTTTATAAGACTTGTGGATTTCACCACATCACCTGCAATCCCCTTCTTACCCATTTCCTGACAGCTTGTATATGATTTACAGGCCCAAACATTGTTGTAAGAAAGGAAGGGGGTTTTTACATTAGGCTTCTTACTATGGTTATTGGGCTGGGCTTCCATTTCTTTCATGATTTGTCCTTTCCCTCTTACACCATTTATTTTATCATAAAAATTAAATTTTTTATTTTTAAATTTATAATATTAAATTTTGAATTTTTTTATTTAAGGTTGATAAAATTTAAATATTGAAATTAAAAATTAAGTACTTGACATATAATTATTAGTAGACGATTTTAACACTTACCCTCTTACTTTAATCAGTTTCTTTTATAATTTTTTTTTCATGTTTATTAGATATTATTTTTTAAAATATTTATATAAATTAATTAAATTAAAGTAAAATTTTAAAGATAACGTATTCAAATATGCTAGAAATATTATTAATAATTTTCTAATTAAAAATTAATAAAAATATATTTCCATTATTATATAAAAATAAAATGTAAAAAAGAATTATCCTTTAATTTTCTTTTTCTCTAAAAAAAAAAGAAAGAAAACAAATTCTTTCTTACTTACCTCATAAGACTTTACATGCATGATTAATACGCCCCAAACATGATGACGTGTCAATTGACCCATTCTCTTCTTCTTTTCATTCTTAAAACAAAAAATCCAACGTTCTCGCATTGGCTATTATTGAGTACCCGGAAGAGCTCGTTCCTTCCAACTCAGTCCTCTCTTTCTTGCTTTGTTTTCTGTCTCTCCTCTTTTGTTGAACAAAGCATTAAACTTTTTTTTCCTTGTCAATTAAGGTTTCAAAACCTTGTTGCCCAAAGTTGAATTCCAAATGACCGATAATTTCTTCTGTTTTTCCGCCTTTATGTAAGTCTCTCTTCAAAAATCTCAGCTTTACTAAATTCAATAAACAAAGTAGTTATTTTTTTCGTCCTTCTCTTTTGTCTACCATAGTTGGATCTTTATTGGTCCCATAGCTAGAAGTTTTACTGGGTCATATTCATATTTGAATTTTCTTCTTTTTTTGTCTGAACTTTTGTACTTGTACTTAGAAAATGAAAGATAGATAAAAATAAGTGGTTTGTGTAGAAAAATGGGGTTGTTAATTTATTATCAGAAGAGCATAAATTTCCCATTTTGAAGGGCCTTTCCTGAAAGTATCCTTCAATGGATATCAATTGAATTGTTGGAATTTTGGTTAGAATTCTTTCTTACTTTTTTTTTTTTTTAATTCGAAATGTTAGGATAAGAAGAAAAAGACTAGCATGTCGGGGCTGCTGCTGCTGCTGCTGCTGCCCCGAAACCATATCTACGTTCAGTTTCTTGGACTAACTGTTCAACAACTAAGCCTAGCCAGAAACCGCCGCCAAACACAAAGGGCACGTCTTGTTTACCATCCCTTTCTATAACAAGAAGGCCTGTGGAAGAGTGGCAGAAAGCTGGTTCTGATGATCTTGGTGTCTGGCCTAATCCCCAGACGTCTAGAGGCTCTGTCAAGCTCTTGAGTCCGGGTTCCTATAGCGAGTTTCGGTTGGGGAGAGATAAGCTGGCTTTCTATGATAAGAAGTGTTCCAGGATTGCTGATCATATTTATTTGGGGAATGATGCTGTGGCTAAGAATAGGGAAATTTTGAGAAAAAATGGGATTACTCATGTATTGAATTGTGTTGGTTTCGTTTGTCCTGAGTATTTCAAGAATGAGCTTGTTTACAGGACACCTTGGTTACAAGATAGCCCACCTAAGGATATTACTAGTATTCTGTATGATGTGTTTGATTACTTTGAAGATGTTTAAGAACAAGGCGGGAAGGTTCTGGTGCACTGCTGCCAGGGAGTGTCAAGATCAACCTCTTTGGTTATTGCCTATCTCATGTGGAGGGAAGGCCAGAGCTTTGAGGATGCGTTTCAGTATGTGAAGGCAGCTAGATTGGTGACTAATCTGAATACAGGTTTTGCTTTCCAACTTCTGCAGTGCCAAAAGAAGGTGCAAGCTATGCCTGCAAGCCCGAATTCAGTGCTTAGGATGGATAGAACCGTTCCGCGCTCCGCGTTTGATCCTCTTCATCTTGTTCCAAAAATATTAAATCATGCAGGTAAACAAGGACTTGATTCCTGTGGGCCGTTTATTGTGCATTTTCCTTCTGCTATATGTGTTTGGATTGGAAAAAAATGCAACCATGTAATGTCGAATTGTGCTAGATTGGCTGCCAATCAGGTTATTCAATATGAACGGGCGCAGGATCCAATTTTAACTGTGAGAGAAAGGGAAGAGTCTTTGGAATTCTAGGATTCCCTTGTTATTGGATATCTCTTATCGGATGGCTGTGATAGAGCAGAGATCAGGAAGGTAGATAATTTGGCTTCTGAGAATGATAAGATGGTTGCAGCAACCAGAAATTGTGTCGGTGAAAGGAAGGTAGATGATTATGATTTACATTTTGAACTTTTACTTAAAGCACTTGATGGTGGAGTTGTTCCACCTTTTTCAGTGTCAGCCACAGAATTAGAAACTTACCTTTTTGCCAGAGAAAATGGATGTGGTAGGCTAAGACAGAAGTTTGCTAATGGTGTCGTGAATGAATTCGTAAATTCATTCAAACTAGGTATGGTTATAGACATTCATAGAGATTCAGAGGATAACATTTCAGTCTTGTCACCGTCATCGCCGTCAGTCTTTCCATATGTTTCACCAGACTCCTTTGACTGTTTTCCAGATAGTAGCCCAATTCGGCGTAAAGATCATTGTGAAGACGTAGAACAGTCAGTTACTCCTTTTGGTTCTCCATTGTCACCAAGGTCTTCTTGCGGTTCACCAAATTCTTTTTCTTGTTTTGCGACTAGCAGCCCAAAATTCAGTTCCAAGTCTCCTACACTTTCACCTTCAACATCTAACTATGCCATACCTTTTCACCCACATCCACTAATTGGTCTGACTAGTCGAATTTGTCTTCTTGGCAGCCTTTCACTCTTTGACCTTGAGGCTACTGATCTGTTTTCAATTAAGAATATTTCCTCTCCAGATAATTCTTGTTTATCAACAAAGACATTTTCTTCTTCTCTTACTTTGAGGGAGGCAAGAAGATTCACAACAATGACTTAACATGATTCTGTTTTCTTTTTTTTTTGCCTTTAATATAGCTGACCCCAGAGTTATCGGATATAAGACTTAGTTTGTTGTTGATGTTGTTTACTTTGAGGGTGGCAAATACCTGTTTGCCTCGTAAAGATACTTCTCCCTCAATTGCAGAGCGTAGGGGGAGTCATCCTCCACCATGCATGTTGTTACCATTTGATGATGAACCAGTCCCCAAGAATCTTGTAAGGTCCTGGTCCTTTTCTTTGCCTGATTTGGATGATGATGTAACGAATGATATAGATTGTAATCAATATGAGCTTGGAGACAACATTGAATCACATAATGGAACCGAAGATAATGAATATAAATGGGAATATGGTAAATATCATCCTCAATTTGATGGTATCTTTGAGGCGTGTTGAGTGATACCTACCAAATACAGAATACTCAAAAAAGAGTAGGGAGTTATTTTCCAAAAAAATAAAAGAAAAAGAAGAGTTCAGAAGCAACAGACAAGGAAGAGAATTTTGTGATGATTCTTCTATATCATTATGAATGCATATATGTAATTTATCAGCTGTACCAATTCTCTCTCCTTTCTCTCTACCGAGAGAATCTCGGATTTTGCTGACTCCAAAATAACAGACTCCATAATGAAATGTCTTTCCTTTCCCAAAGCTAGGGTTACACACTTACCACGAACCCGCTCGGATCATTACCCTATGTTATTATCGTGGAAGAATAGGGTTCCTAGGTTGGGTCCGAAACCCTTTCGCCTCTAGAAAACGTGGTTTGACCACCCTGAGTTCATGCCTCTCATCCGGAGTAGTTGGAACCGGGAGCATCATTCTTTGGCACACGTAATGCTTGCCTTAAAAAGGACCTGAAAGAATGGAATGTGAACTCCTTTGGCAACATTTTTTCAAAAAAAAAAAAAAGAATCCTTGCTCGTCTTGCGGGTATCGAGAAAACTATGGAAAACGGACCCAATCAATTCTTGTTGGATCTTCAAGGGGTCCTGCGTGAAGACTATAACGGTATCCTTAAGGCTGAGGAGGATTTTTGGGCACAGAAATCAAGGGTTAGCTGCCTAACAGAGGGTGAAAGGAATACTAGGTTCTTCCACACTCGACCATTCTTAGAAGAGGATATGATAGAATTTCAGGATTGGAAAACGCTGCAGGTAGGTGGGTTAACCAACCCAAGGAGATGTTCTCTATTGTCCAAAACCATTTCAAGGTCTTATGTACTACCTCCCATTCACAAAGCTCACATAGTTTGATGGAGGGTCCTAGGCGAGTGGCCATGCTTACTAGCCAAGAACAGAGTGCTCTTTTAAGGCCTATCTCTAACTTAGAAATTCGGAAAACCTTTTGGATTTTAAACCCTTTAAAGCCTAGGTCCGGATGGGCTCCATTCTTTTTTCTATCATAGGTGCCGGGGTATTGTGAAAGAGAAAGTGTGTGCCACAATTAAATCCATCTTTGATTCTTCGACCATGCCAGAAGAGCCCAATGTGACGCTGATATCTCTTATTCCCAAAATGTAGCAGTCCTTCACGTATCGAACAATATAGGCCCATCAGCCTTTGTAACATTCCCTATAAAGTTGTCTCGAAAATTATGGTATAGAAGATTAGACAATATAAAATGGTTTCGCCCCTCCAAGCCAGTTTCGTGCCAGGGAGGAATGGTTGCGATAATTGCATCATTATCCAGGAATTAGTCCACTCATTCAAAAGGAAAAAAGGCAAACTAGGATGTATGATGCTCAAGTTGGATTGGAGAAAGCCTACGATAGGCTAGAGTAGGGATTCATAAGGAAAGCATTAACCTTCTTTAACTTGCCTTAACCACGGATCTCACTCATCATAAGCTGCATCTCTTCTTCATCCATAGTTGTAACGATGAATGGAGGTATGTTATGAGCTTCAAACCTTCAAAGGGTCTAAGGCAAGGAGATCCCTTATCTCCTTACGTTTTCATCATGTGTATGGAGTTTTTGAGTCTGAAGATTATCGAAGCTGTTGATGATCGAAGATGGTATCCAGCTGAGGCTTCACGATCTGGTCCTGCATTTTCGCTTTTTTTTTTTTTTACTGATGACGTCATCCTATTGGGCAAAGCTGACGAGGATACTACCAATACAATGAAGAAAGTATTAACTGAGTTCTGTAAGGAGTCAAGACAGAAAATTAATTTGGAGAAATCAAGGATTTTATTCTCAGCCAACACCCACCAACAACATAGAGAAAGTATTGTTAACCCGCTGGGCATTTGTGACACTTCTGATCTTGGTAAATATCCGGGCTTCCGCATCCATAAGGGAAAAGTCAGTAGAAATGACTATACCTTCATCATTAACAAGGTCCAATCAAAGTTAGCAGGGTGGAAAGCCAGGCGGTTGCTCTACTAGTTCTAATTCTTCCAAGGAATTAAAACTGTAACCTACCTTAATAATCTTAGTCGACTTCCCTCCTTTCTTCTTCACACTCGTTTCATAGCAAACAAGAATAATTATTATATAAAACAAAGCACGTAGATTACAAAAAAAAAAAAAAAACGATTTTGTTTATGATTAAACTAACCTGATAATATCTTTATCTTTGAAAATACAAGTTTGACTCGAAGGGTGGAAAAACAATGAAAATTAATGGCATAACAAAAGCAAAAAAAAAAAAAAATCTTAAATTAGAGGATGAAGAGAGAGAGAGAGAGAGAGAGAGAGAGAGAGAGAGAGGGAGAGTAACGGAAAGGATGAGGCCGTGGGGGCAAGATTTGTGGAGGTGGAAAATGTAGAGAAGATAAGAGGAAAGACCGAAGATAGTTTGGTGCCTGGGTTTAAGGAGAATCCAGCTTCGCTTTAGTCCTTGTTTCATCTGTGACTTGCTCAGAATGCTGCGATCCTCGAACACCAAACGGAGCCTTATCGTCCCCATTTCCGAGTACTGAAGAATTTTGCAGCAAAATCATTTGTAACTTGCTTTTTGGCCTTCGTTTCTTAAACCCTCTGCCAGGGTTTCGTCATTCATGGTGGTTTTTTTGCTGTGAGTTAGAGACTAACGACTGTATGGGTCAGCACAAAAATTTTTGGGCGGGTTGGTTGATGAGGCAGTAAGCTGGGTAGTCGATTAATTAATTAGTCTTGAGTTACTGCCCAAAATTCATGGGTGGTTGGTTAATTAATTAGTATTGGGCTACAGCTCATAACTTAAGGGTCTTGATTAATTAATTAGGCATGAGCTATCGCTCAAAACTTGAAACTACGACCCTGAAAGGAGAGGCAGCGGTATTTGACCAATTAAGTGCAGCTACCTAAACTACGGCCCAATATATCTATAAATTATGATTTATAATCTATCTGTATTTATAATTTATAATTTATCTATGATATATATTATCTATAATCTATCCATATCTATAATTTAAAATCTATCTATATTTATGTTTTATAATATATTTAATATATATATATATAATATCCTCCTTTCATCTATCTTTATCATCATCATCTACAATAAAACACAAACAATGATAAAAATTAAGGTTGATAGCTCAATTCATCCCCGAATTTGGATCAGATCCGATTTCATAAGATAATTTTTTTTTAAATTAAATTTCGAATCGAATCAAATTAAATAATATTAAAAAATATTAAAATCGATCAAATCGAATTTACTTAAAACCTAAATATGATATTATATAAAAATTATTTTTAAAATTTTTTATTTATATATTTATATTTTAAAAAATAATATTTTATATTTTAAAATTAATATTTTATTAATTTCGGATCGAATCGGATACGATTTATACAATATCAGATCGAATCAAATTCTAATATAAAAAAAATTTCGGATTGGATTCAAACTTTATGAATATAAAATCAATCAGGTTCAAGATAAATAAAAACACGTCCCCAACCGTCGTCAACCCTAATAAAAGTTATAAATAACTATTTGTTCGGCATATTTCTCAATTATTATTTTAAATATTTTACCATAAATATTAATAAAATTTATCAAATTTGTAAAAGAAAATTTTTAATTTCATTGAAAATCTTATAAAAAATTAAAGTTTACGTTAATTACTTTTCTTCAAAATTTTAATTCTAGATTAACGTTAAAAGGAACAAACTTTATCCTAATCTGATATATGTTTTATACACGAGATAATTTTACTTGTTAATACAACAACTAAGCATTTCAAAGTTATGTGTTGTAGAAGTAATTAATTTTTGAAGCCAATAATACAATTATTTTGATGCATAGAAATGTATTTATCCATTCTCAAGCAGGTAAATTCCTGAAAGATAACATAAAATTACCTGCAACTACACAGAAACTATCCTCACAGTCCCCTGCATATCAAACAAAACTTATTTTTATTTGCTCATTCAAGGAAATGTAAAACAAAAATTTGAAAATATTTCATAGCAAGAACATCTTTTTAAGCAATATTATTGAGAAAAAAAAAAGATTTTTAAATTTTTATAGGAACTAAAATTCTCAACTACCCGACTTTCTTGATGAGGATGGTTTGGAGCTTGCGAGCGAGGCCCTGCGATCGAATCTTACGCTCCAAATTCTTGCGTACCAGAACTCGTTCCTCCGAGTTCTTAATATGATGAGGCTGTTCCTGCTTTACCAGGCGTTCGACTCCGCCCGATTGCATCAACCCCCATGTCCTCTCCAAGTTCCCGTACCTTACCTTCAGCCGTATCCCTCTCCATTGCTGAATCTGATTCGGATCGCGACTCAGCGAGTTCACCACCTGCCTCTCAGGAGCAAAGAGACTACTACTAAAATGCCTCGCTATCGCGTTAATTTCGGTAACATCTCTCTTTCTCCCTGCCGGTTCATTAGGGTTTATGTTTGAGTTTTTTTATTGTTAATTTTACTATATATATAAGACGAAAATGCCCTTAATAAATGAAGTAACGTTTTTCGATGATGTCAGCTTGAAGAACGCTTCACGTGTGGACTCCGAAAGAACTTTCCTTTTACTCTCGTATCTCTTACCACCAGCAGTCACGAAAATCCTAGTCTAAGAAGCGGAAGCACAGCTTTGGAAAGCTGGCTTACAGTCCGAAGCGAGCCATGGCTGAGCTGAGGCACTCGAGCAGCTCGCCCGGGAGCCGAGCCACGTCTTCTCCAAGGAAACGCGACGAGGACGCCTCTCCTCTTGTCCACGATCACATCCCTCAAGATGACGACGACGATCACCCTCGCCATTCTTTACGAGATCGTGACCGTTCGTTTTGGTCGCAAATTCACTCCTTTTTCCCTTTCTTTAACGACGATCCAAGGGATTCTCAACACGCCTCCAGGATCTTGCTTCTCTTGATCCTTTTCATCGCCATTATTGGATTGATCTCCATTTTCTCGATCTTACATCGATTAGTAAGAAACCGATTCACTTTGTTTTTAAATAGTTTAATACTCTACTTTTTTCTAGATTTTTTTTTGTGTTGCATAGGAATTTCAGATTTAAATGATTCTTATTTTTTAAATAATAGTAATTGATTTTTGGGAAAAAAATTAAATGGAGTGAGCTAGCAGGTTAAGTATAATTAAAGTTTAGCTTATTGGGTTTTTTTTTTAATGGAAATTGCGAGGCCAACTTTTTTCCTAGATTTGTTTTGTGTTACCAATTCTAATATCACTGTTACGTTATTGTAGAATTCCCCTTATTTGTGTAAAAAAGATGGCATTGTTCTTCACTGTCCGCGTGTAAGTTTCTGACGGATCTTGTTCTGGTTGTAATTATTTTTCTGACTTCTTGTTGGATTGGTTGTAAAATGTGTTTTATGCTTTCTAGGTTAAGGAGAATCCTTCACTCTGGAAGAATCCTTTCTCTGCAACTACTTCTTGGAAGCCTTGTGCTGAGCGCCGTGTTAGTGGAATACCAGGTATCTATGGGTTCCTCTTTTTCGTACTGTGTATTTGCTATCACCCACATTTTGTGAAATGCATTTAAGAAATGTTTGTTACTTCGAAATGTGTGTACTAATTTCTGTTTTGGGTTGGAGAAAAGTTTTTTTTTTTTTTTGCTTCTACTATTTGTATATATCTTCTCAAGATAGAACAGTGCTAAGTTGTATGTTTTGGTCATAAATGCCTAGTTTGCTCTAAACTTTTTCAGACATGTTACCAATTACATTCCTGATTTATGAAGTTGTTTCATTTTCTTGTTCATATTATCACAGCTTATGTTAGTGACTCCTTAACTATTGTGCAGACCTTCCTCCTGAGAATGAAACAAGTGGTTATATATTTATTCATGCCGAGGGTGGTCTAAATCAGCAAAGAATTGCGGTATAGATTCTTTTCTTCTTATTGCAACCTGATTGTGTTGTTTCCTTATCATTTTTCCAATTTTCATTTTTCAAATGTATCTTATGGAGTTGGAAGCAGGTCATAAGTCTTTTTGAATGGTTGAATTATAAAATTACTGATACTTATGTTTAGTGTCACTAACTTGGTGTTAAAGATCTTGTCTCACCTTGCAATTCGAAAGTGTTATGATGTTGTCACTTTGATGACTGTAACCTAAAAACCTATGAAATAGAGAGTCTAAAATTACATTATTTTGCTGACTTTGGCTTGCCTATTGTGTCCTGGGGACTTCTTTTGGTGTCAAATTCTTATGATACCAGTAATTAATGTGAATAAAGAACAAAGATGATTATAAGACATCAGTGCCTAAGATGAGAATCTGTAAATAAAGTGCTTTCTAAAGTACTTTTGCTGGTTGGTTCTATCCTGATTTGTTCATCTTAGTCTTGGTTCTATTCTCATTTTATGATTTCCCAACACCTTTTTAACTGTCCTTAAAATCGAACTTTCACCGAATGATTTCTGAAAATTCTACTGATTTGGTATCTTTAATGGCCAGCAACAAACTTATGAACTTATTGCATATTCCTTGCAGATATGTAATGCAGTGGCTGTGGCCAAAATTATGAATGCCACACTTATCTTGCCGGTTCTGAAACAGGACCAGATTTGGAAAGACCAAACGTGAGATTTCTTGTCCAATTACCTTATACATGCTGTTGGTCTTGTGCACATGATTGTTATAACCATTGTAACATAAGTAGTCATATGCATATATATTAAAATAAATAAATAAATATAGATAAAAAGAAGTGACTGAGATTATTTGTTTATCAACAATACTTCTGTTTGTAATATATTTTTTCAATTATTTGCAGGAAATTTGAAGACATTTTTGATGTTGATCATTTCATTGACTACTTGAAGAATGACGTGCGAATTGTCCTCGACATACCCGAATGGTTTACTGACAAATCAGAATTATTTACAAGTATAAGGTGATTTTTGTCATGGTTCTCTGTGTTGCCTCTATGCTGGATTTTCTATTATAATTAGCCAGATTTCAACTGCTAATTTAGAAGCTATTTGCTTCTATGGATTTGCTTCAATCATGATGGCATCATTATTTTCCTCAATTTAATGATTATGACCTTATTATTGGCATGAGTCCCTGGAGACAAAAAGCTAGAGGTGGGGAAGATTTGGGTCCTCTGTGGGACTTTGAATGGACTTCTTTCATAATGACTTTTGGTAGACAACATAACTGAAATTTTCATTTCATTATTTTAGATTAACTGATAGAGTATGTTTATCTTTTACTTATTTTATTTCATTTTGGGAACAATGGCAACTTGTTGGCTTTTGCTGATTCTCTTCAAAAAGAAAACGTTAAAATAGCATGTTGCTCATGTCTTAGTTCATATTGATTCATTGTGACCTTCATCTTGCTACATGTGTATCATATTTTGTTTGGAACTTGTAGCCATTCAATCGTAGGCTTTTTTGGGTAATAATATCTTTGGACTCCAAACATGACATGAGAATTTATAAAGCATGTCTTATAGAAATTTATTCCAACCTTTTGCAACCGGAATTGTTTTCATGGAGAGATTTTGTGATGTGTAATAGATGGACTGTGAAGAACATTCCAAAATATGCACCAGCACAATTTTACATTGACAATGTGCTGCCTCGGATCAAAGAGAAGAGAATAATGGTGCTAAAACCTTTTGTTGATAGACTTGGGTAAGTCATGGATGTTATAGATCTGTGTATTATGACTACTTTCAAAAGTTTTCCTTTCATATAAGGAATGTTAGCTTGGTTGTTAATTATCTTATCCACCGCTCTATTTCCTTCCCTATGTCACTTGGATAATGTTCAGGTATGATAATGTCCCTCCAGAAATCAACAGGCTAAGATGCTGGGTCAATTATCATGCTCTTAAATTTCTTCCTGAGATTGAGCAAATGGCAGATTTATTGGTCTCAAGGATGAGGAACCGCACAGGAAGTCCAAATCCTTACATGTATGTATCATTTCAGTTAATATGCTGAATTGCTGCTATATTAACTCCAAATTAACTAACAGTTCATTTCATTCAGGGCTCTACATCTTAGGTTTGAGAAAGGGATGGTGGGCCTATCATTCTGCGATTTTGTTGGGACCACGGAGGAGAAAGATAGAATGTCAGAATACAGAAAAAAAGAATGGCCTCGACGGTATAAGGTGATTTAGCACAACTTGCTTTTTCAGCTTGTCGGTTTAGTAAGAACCAAAAATTGGCCTGGATTATTTCTTATCTTTGTAGTGACTGGGAATACAGAATGGATCCCATCTCTGGCAGCTCGCACTGCAGAAGCGGAAGGAGGGACGGTGTCCTCTTGAACCTGGGGAAGTGGCAGTGATTCTTCGGACAATGGGTTATCCCAAGGAAACACAGATTTATGTTGCTTCTGGCCAGGTTTATGGTGGTCAGAACCAGATGGCACCCTTAAGGAACATGTTTCCAAATCTGGTAGGTGCTTTGTTAATCTTATCTATGTATGAATCCTAGAAAATCTTCTTGTCTGGAATCACTTTTCCATATCCAAATACAATAGTACTAATAATCTTTTAAATTATTTGTAACATTTTCTAATGTTCTAGTATGTAGTATTTTATCCATCTGGGGAGTTTCTCTGACCGTGCTACTGCCCCTAACTGTATTACATTTAAATCTGGTAGTGGTAAAGCTTGTATACCTGCACGGATTTGTTAGTTAACAAACAGGAAATATATCAGACACTGCAATGCAAGTAGTTTGGACTTGACGAATTGGAAACTGACTGTCAGGCTTTATTTTCCTTTTTCTTTTATTTTCATGAAAATAAATTCTCTCTTTTTGCAAAGATGCTCATTACAAGGCTTTATATAACAGGTTACCAAGGAGGAGTTGGCAAGTAAGGAGGAGGTAGCTGTTTTCAGGAAGCATGTAACAAGCTTGGCGGCACTTGACTTCTTGGTCTGCCTGAAGTCTGACGTGTTCGTGATGACCCATGGAGGTAACTTTGCTAAATTGATTATAGGGGCTAGAAGGTACATGGGTCACCGTCAAAAATCCATAAAACCAGACAAGGGCCTTATGTCTAAATCTTTCGGGGATCCTTATATGGGCTGGGCAACTTTTGTTGAGGACGTGGTCGTCACCCACCAGACCCGAACTGGATTGCCAGAAGCGACTTTCCCTAACTATGACCTTTGGGAGAACCCCCTGACCCCGTGCATGTGTAAAGCCTGATAGCACGTATTTCTTTTCGTTACTTATTTATTCTTGAGGAGCTTCACCGAAAGGAAACTGCATATCTGCATTTGACAAATGAAAATTCTTTTATCAACGAGCTATTAGGAGGGAACAAAGCAGACCAACCAATAAAGTTCTTTGCCTGGAGAAGAGTTGAGACTTGGGAATGGATTGCAGACAGGCATTGCCCTTTGGGAGCATGATCGTGAGGGCTGCCTCCGCGGCCTGGACACCCAGCACTAGCAGTTTTGTCTCTAAAAACAACAGATAGTTTTAACATATTTACCTATCGATTTTAGTATATTTCATATTTGTCACAAAAGACAGTAGATTACTTTTTATCTTTTAAGTATCAGGACGACGTGTAAAATATTAGTGAAATGTAGAAGGAAGAGAAATCATTTCCCCCTGCTCCTATATTTTGTCGTGGAAGGGTTTCTTGGTTACAGCCTACATTTTAACAAAAAAAAAAAAAAAAGGTTTGCTTTAAAATCAACAATGGATTTGAGCTTTCTAGGAAAGACTGGACATGGCTCAAAAGAAACCGGGCTAGTCTTAAAGAGCATGGCGATGTGTTGGCTTGGTTGTTAAGTGATAAAATGCTCGAGACGCGATGAAGAACCTACAAATGTCTGATGTTGAAGTACGTGACGTGAACAATAATCGACACGCCAGTACCATAGTTGAATAAATGATATGAGAAAATCTGAAAGCATGAAGATGATGATTTAACTAACTTTTTAATTGTCTCTTTGTTAAAATGTATTAACTTTCTAATATGAATCAGAGACGAGAAAATGAAAATAAATTTTTTAAGGGAAATTCAATTTTGAGGTTTTATTGACATTCAACTTCAATTACATTAGATTGTAGTAGTGTCTATATTTATACAGACTTCAGCTTTTAAAAATAAGAAAAAAAAAAAGATAAACATCATCAAAACTTAAAAAAAAACAAAATGAAATATAATCTTACATATAAAAATATCCAAATTGATAAAACTTAAAAAAGGAACAAATCAACTTATTAATAATGGGTTTGATAAAAAATAAAGATAATAAGTAAACTAATGCTTTTAACTCTTGGCTTTTTGGTTAGTTATGCATAGAAATATAAGAGTAGAAATTAGCTGAAACAAAATTTCGAGACACAAACAAGCCTAGCATTGCGTTGTCCCATATAATGCAGCTAAGGTTTCTTGGCAAGTTATTTCTTCCCTTTTTGTCTGTTGCCTCAACTTTTAGCCAATAATAGAGTGCAATCACACCAATTCCTTAGTCCATGAAGCAAAGCAACAGTGAAGAAATCAAACTATAAATTAAATATCAACGGAATCAAACAAACGAAGATTCAAGATTCCATTTCGTCACCATCAATTATGTCACACTTATTAGATTTATTAGTAATTGCTTGTATAAATTATTCAAAACCAAACTCAGATTCCAACATTTAATTTAATGCTTGACACGTGTTTATTTTTAATTTAAGAGTTGGCTTTCAAATAAAATAAAATGAAATGAAACTATTTAAACTGCATATTTGCCATTTGGCCTTTACACTTTTGGAAATTATAAATCAAGACTTTGCATCTAGACCCCCAACAGGCGGCCTAGCTTAATGCTTTGCTTTTTATGCTTTACCCCACTTCATTTGATAATAATGATTTTGAATAAACAAGTGAAAGGAAACATGATTTCATGCCTATATATTATTTGTTAATTCAACCATGATCGGATGAGTTTTCACATTTGCAAAAGAATGAAAAAGTAATAATTTTATCACTGACTGATTAATTAAATTGATTAATATTTATTTTTTTTTATGAAGAGATTTTAAATTTAAATTTTGTTGGTAATCATTTGTTAAAATTATTTTGAATACATAATTTATAATTATTTATTTTAAATTATTAAGTATGATATGTCAGATAACTGAACAACTTATCTACTATTGAATCTTTTGAAAAAAAAAAAAGATTTTTGCTTGTTTATTTCTATTAATCTTTTCAAAATCCCTTTTTATAATTTTTATTTTTTATTTTTGAAAGTAGAAAGGTGTAGGATGGCCAATAAAGAAAAAGAAAAAAAGGCATAATGTGTGACTGGAACAAAAGCACTTAAAAATTCTTTGAAATGATTAAATATTAAAAATTTTAATTTTTATTGATAACGAAAATCTTAAACTTATTCATTTTAATTACATATATTTATTTTTTATTTTAATTTACTTTTTAACATTTTTTTAAATTGAAAATATTAAAATTTAAGTAGCAAAATTAATAACATAAAAAACCTTAATTAATTCTTAATGTACACATTATTAAACCTTGATTTAACGAAGCATTCAACTAGCTAATAAATGAAATTTTACTACACAGACGTGCTTTCCTTTTCAAAATTAATATTAAAAACTTAAAAATGGTTAGCACATCAATTATCATATATAATTAACAAAAAGTTAGGGCCATGTTCTTGGAACTAATAATCTTTTTATATAGTTATCGTCATCGCTCACATAAGAAACCAAATCTACAATTTAAAAATAGATATGCGATAGACTTAAACGTATATAAAGTAACAAAATGTAAGTCATAAAATCATTATAAAATTATTAGGAATAATATGTCGGTCGATATAAAATTATTATATGAACAATTAAACTAAATCTTGATTCATATAAAATTATTATTTTGCAGGTTCAGATTTCAAAGAAAAATATAATATTAATTTTGTTGGTACAGTTTTTTTTTATTTGAAATAATGTTTATAGAATAAATTAAATAATTAATTAATAAATTATAACTTAATTAAATAATTAAATTCACGTACAATAAAACTTAAACATGAACTTTAAGATTTTAAGACATCTTCCTTATCATTAAATCAAAACTTCATTAACTTTGAGTGTATTAGGATGAACAACTAGATTAGTTTTGATGACATTAAAAATTGTGGTGAATGTAAGATTAATTAGTGTAATAGTGCGATTAAATTAATGATAAGATATATATTTAAATGTAAAAAATAATGGTGGAAATAAGATAAATTATAATAAAAAATAATTATTAAAGATATTATATTAAAATTATATACAATAATTTTAGATTATTTCAAATTTATAACATTAATCAATAATTAAAAATTATTAAATTATTTTAAGATCAAATAAAATTTTTTATAATAAATAATTAAAATTAATAATAATATATTAAATTAAGAAAATTATTTTATATTTTTAAATAACAATCAAAACTAAAAATTAAAAAAAACTAAATTATAAAGATTTTTTTATATTTATAATATAAACTAAAAGGTAAAAATAAAAATTAAAAAAATAAAGTTACAGGCCAGTTGGCCACTAGAGCGAAACATTCCAGTGTCCAACCGGCACAATTTCCACCGGCTTTTGCATCCAAACGGATGTTAAGAGCCGATTGACACAAAAATCTTTGACAATCTCAGCTCCATTGGAGGTCCAATTAAATCCAAAGGGAACCGTTATCAGTATAGTTCCTTACTAATAGAATATTTGGAAAAATATTTTGGCAAGTTCCTAATTTTTCCAACCAAGCCCCGAAAAAACTTTTCTGAGTATGCTAACTGAGAGCGTATAACTTATAATTATTATATTAAAATTAACGAATTACATTCTAAAATATTATAAGGTTTATGAAAATATTATATAAAATTTATATTTAATAATGGATTTTTAAATAATTTTAAATTATAATTAGACAATTATGATATTATAATAAAAGGAATGATAGAAAAAATCACCCAAACTAAATATAAAAATAATATTATGGGTCCAAAATCCAATTGTCGATTTTTTTTTTTTTTGGCGCATCATTTTTAATGCCAACCCCTTTCTTCTCATTATGTATACGTCAGCTGCGCCACTTCAATTTCGAAGAAAAATCTCAGACACAGACAAGACAGCGGATCTGGCGGCTTGGTTTAAGAATCGTTTTCTATTTTACTTGTTCAACTATAGCGAACTTCTCGCTCTCTCCTTTCATTTTTTCTCTTTGGGTATTTCTTTGCCTTTTCCCTAATTTCCACTTATCTTCATTTTTTTTCGATCCAAACATGATCTGCTCATCCGTTAGAACTAGCCCTTATATTCCCTGCTATTGCTTCAGTGATAAACACTATTGCCCTAACACTAAAAAGATTCAAATAAAATTTCCCAGAGTAAATAAATCAAAATTCTTATGTAAATCAGCTGGTTCAGATAAGATATTCGCTGTTTCTTCTTGTTCAACGACGATTGAAACTCCTTTGGATACTACGTACAGACAAGGAGTTTCGGACAAGATTCAGCTTTTGGTTTCAGAATTCAAGTCTTTAACAAAGCCAATCGATCGCGTGAAACGGCTCTTACATTACGCAGAGATGCTTGCTCCTTTTGACGAGTCGGCTCGGGTGCCCGCCAACCAAGTCAAGGGTTGCACCACTCAGGTGTGGCTCGACGCCAGAATAGACAAAAATGGAAAGGCAAGGTTTCGAGCGGACAGTGATTCGGAGATTACGAAAGGATACTGTTCGTGTCTGATATGGATGATGGACGGTGCCGATCCCGAAGAGGTTGTGGGAGTGAGGGCGGAGGATTTGGTGGAGTTGAACGTTGGCGTCCACGGGAAGGCCCAATCGAGAGTGAACACCTGGCAGAACGTGTTGATTAGTATGCGGGATAAAACGGAGGCCTTGGTGGTGGAGAGAAAGGGGAAGCTGCCTCAGCTGAGGCCATTTCCTACATTCCTTGTCGGCTCTGATCATTGCAGTTACACCAGCGTTTAGGTTGTCTTTGGTTTCTCTATCTTCGGTAATTTCAGGATCTGTATATGAAATTTTAAGTAGTATTTTTTTCAGTAGTATATAATTTTCGTATATATAAAGAATATTTACTGATAGATTTAGTAATTTGTATTTGCATATTTTTTATTTTATATTAAATATGTATAAAATATAAAAATTATTATTTTATAATTTAAGTCGACACATTAACATGAAAGGCATTTTTTATTTTTATTAAATTTATATATTTTTTAATTAATAAATTTTTATATCGTCTTTTATTATATTTTTTAGTTAAGTAGTAGTAGGAATATGAATAATTTCGATGGGGTTGTTGAAAATTTGAATAGAAGGATATTTTTCCAAAAAGAAATGGTGGGTCATTGACCAATATATATTTGGACAAAGCTGCTAGAAAGGGAAGATTTTGGAACAAATATGAAAAAAAACAAAAAAAAAGGAAAATCTCTTTTGGCTTATTCAGTTATTCCAATAGTAATTTTCTATCTTTCCAAACTAATTAAGTTGCCTCTCAATTCTCATTATACATCATTGTAACTTGTTGGTAGAAATTTTTTTTGTTCATAACTTATTAGTAGACATTTGGACTCATAATATTTGGAAATTGGTGTAGGGGTGTATGAAAGAGATGATCATCTACAAGCAACAATTTCAGAGGGAGCTAAGTGATGGGGTCAATAGAGTAAAATTGTATGGTTCTTGAAAATGGAGGCCTGCATGCTTCAAAAGAATTTAGGAAAAGGGATGCTATATTTGTTAATTTACAAAGAAGGGAAAGTAGGAGTCGTCTTCCCCATGTTGAATTACGTAAAGAAAAAAAAAAAGACATAATTTGAAGTTCAGCCAAAAGTGTGTTTGACATTGCATTATTGCAGTGTATGTAAACTCTACTTATTGTAAGAGAAAAGAGAGTTGAAAAACAATGGATTTGCAACATTTGTTACCGATTTGTGTTGTAAAACTCCAATCCAATTTAATGAAAAATCTTATAGAGTTGTGTATCATGACTTGTATTGCTTTGATTTTTTTTTTTTTTAAACATGTTCGACACACATCCAAACAAATATGGGAACGGAGATTTAACCTTCTAAAGAAAAAAAAAAACCCTTGGAAAATGTAGACAGTGGAATAGCATTCGACACTCACTGGAAATAGAGCAAACATCACAGAGATCATGCATGATTGCTCCATCCGATCGAGGACTGTGTCATTATGTGCATAAACACATGCTAATCAGCATTTGACAATCATAGTAATTAGTTTTGACAAAAGTTTTACGCCAAACTGACTTATCTAATTTTTTGTTTTTTAATAAAGACTTATCTAATCCCTATCAGAAAGTCTGAATGACTGCATATGATCTTTTAGAAACTTAAAACCAGTTGTTACTAAAGCCACCCACCAGGTAAGGCGAGTTATTTTACTAGCAATCTACTAAAATTAGATAGGTTTAAATGATTCAATATCCAATTCCATTCTTCATATTTTGTAAAAACATTGATTACACTATAAGTTTGTTTTTTTTTTTTTTTTGACAAAAGAGGTTACAGTCTGGAAATAAAAGAAAAGTCATCAATGCTCAAATTTTAATTTCAAATCTACTATATACTACTCTTGTTATGTGAATCAATGAAGTTAAACTCCAAAAATTAAATTTCATTCTTTAAATTCAATAGAAAATTGAAGTAATATGAACATATAAAGAATTAATATTTAATGCAAATAATGTATAGTGCTATACATTGTCAAACAATCATACGATGATACATCATGTATCTTGATTCTTGAATGATAGTAACAAGCATTCTTGTATTCCCTTGGATCAAAGACTTAAATATCCCCGATTTTTCAATAGGATTTTCCTTTATTCTTTGTATATGATGTATAGGCATAACATTTTGATCACAAAGTCTATATGCACATTATCTTGAACGTGATGAGGCAGTTGGAATTTTTTGCTCTTTTTATTTTTGGCTTGACCAGAATTTCATTGCTTTATGTGATAACCATTCTTAATTAATTTCTTATAATAGCACGATCGAATTGACAATCCAATTACGAAAATGCATTTAAAGAACGTGATGATAAAGCTGTACATAAATAACTTGCTTGTCATTTGCCATTTGCAGTACTTCTTGAAGCTTCTTAGTTATCAAAATTGCAGGCCAAAAAGCAATGTGATCCAAATGAGAAGCCAGCGGCCAAGGGCTAAATATATTATTGCTATAAGCAATTACAAGAAGGTTTTCTAAACTCAACATCTAAAATCAATTACAAGAAATTAAATCAATAATAAAAAAGTTCTTAAAAAAAGCAAATGAAAAATCCAATTTGAAGATTATATTCTTGATCATAACATTGGTATAGATCTAGAAAAATAATCTTCAAGGACAGAAAGTAATAACGTAATTAGCTCCACCAGTACATGATGCCAAAGCAGACTTATCATCATAAGCATAACTATAAGCCTGAGGGCATTGGCTTTTGAAAATATTAGAATAATTAGTAGGTGGGCATGTCTCCGGGGTACCAAAAGCACCTGTGCAGCAATACTGAGGTTGATTAAAGGCCAAACATGCGCTATTACAGGCAACAACTTCTCCATCAGACCCTTTAACCTGTAATTCCTGAGGGCAAACAGCATTCACATTGGCGGTGCAGCTGACAGGGATGCAACCACTCGAACCGGCCCAATTGTGGGGCGACTGAAAGAGGCAAGTTAAAGCCATCAACAAGGCTAATGTCAAAAAAATCTCGTCCATTGTTTGCTGCGAGGGTGAATTCTGCCAGGGATACTGGTGGGATCCCACCAGCTCCGTTACATGAAACCTGACCAGAGCCACAGTCTCCGGTTGCACATTGGAACTTGCCATTGACGTTTGTGCATTGAGTTCGAGCCCAGAAGCGACCTGACCATGTTGCTGGAACGTCTAGGATCGATGAGGCTTTTGAGGCTAACTCAAAGCCAGTTGTGGATAATGCAGGACCCGAGCCTGTTAGAATTCCAGGCCAAACTGTGAAAGGGCAGTTGTTGTTTAAAGTGAATGTAGCTGATTTAGTCCCTGCATTAATTTGTGTATTGAACCAAATAATTAGCATCGATACTAGACATGAAAATCCCATAAAAAATAATTATTTCAATGACAAAAACCTTTTTCCAGAGAAAGAGCATAGAAAAAGGGGAAAAGTTTGAGATTTACCAGAGAAGAAGAAGATGGCTGCCAGGAAGTGGCCAAAGATAACCTGAGCCTTCATCATCATTAAAATTATTTTTATTCTTTTGTTGAGATTATCGGTGTAGGCTTAAGAGGTGGGTGATCTCTTTATATATAAATAGAAGCCTAAGCCTAATGGTAATAATATATGAATTTATATTTGATATATTATTAGTATATAAATTTTTATATTATTAATAAATTGAATGATATCATCACATTAATAAAGTGAATCAAACGATATTATATCATTGATAAATAAATTTTTTTAAAAAATTATTAATTTTTATATACTTATTTTAAAAATTAATATTTATTTATTAATAAAATAATATTATTTAATATATTAATAATATATAAAATTTATATACTAATAATGCATAAAATTTTAACTCAGGATATAAATTAAAAGATTTCGTCCATTAATTGTAAAGCGTCAAAGGTGAAGGTGTATCCAAGGCGATTGTTTTTTTTTTTTCCAACTCCAGCTTTACTAATACTGAATAAATCTCCTTAGATTTTATAGCTTTCAGGAATTTATTGCGTAACTTTCAGAAACAATTATTGCAAATATTTTAAGATTCCCCGTTTTAAAGAACATCGTGCTTAAGAAGAGAAATTTCAAGATTTTATACATTCTAGTCACTTTATTAATTACATTTATATTAAAATATTTTACAGAACATTTATATTTTAAATTAATTCTTTTAAAAACTACTCACTGCAGTCAATTATAGTCTTAAAAGTCAAAATCACAGATTCATGCACTCGTAAGCCCATAAATTCAAATTCTTGACACATTGACGATGCTTCCAAGTATTGGATACACACATAACAATTTAAGTATTTTTTTTTCCTCTTTCGATTTCAATTTGTGATAAAATTTTTGTTTAATCAAATCCAAAAATTAAATTAAATTACATTACTATAATTGAAAATGAAAATATAAATTCGAAATGTTTAATACATTTGGAATTGAAATTCCATTCATAATGAATTTATCCGGAAATTAGATGTAGTTGGGAGGTGAGAGTTACAAGTTAATTTTATTAGAATGATAAAGCAATTCATTACAAGAATAATTTTGTGATAAAAAAATTATAGTCTTTTTGCTGCAATGAACAGAATAATGTTTAGAATTACTCATATAAAAAATCACCTGCCTTGCACTTGGAAAATCCCCCATTCATCAAGGGATTTTCTAGATAAAGATGGTAATTAATTAGTTTTCTACATATAAGCTTTGGAAGATACATGTACTTCAGAACTACATCAGACTTGTGGAAGTCCATTAATTTCCTACCAAAAAAATAAAACCCAACTCAATTATGTATTAATCAGTTTGCCATTCAAAGAGTCACATTAAATCTTCTTTCTTCCAAATATCATACTTGATTAGAAGTTAAAACAAAAAATATAGTTAAATGAAATACAATACGATTTTTTTTCTTTTCTTCTACTTAATATAAGAGTTTATCTTCGATACACTGTCAGTATATACATTTTATATACTATTAATAAATCATATGATGCCACCTCATTAAAGAATAAAAATTAATTTTTAAAATAAATATTTAAAAATTAATATTTAAAAAAATTATTTGTTAATGAAATGATACCATCTGATTTACTTTATTAATGAAATGGTATTATTTTATTCACTGATGATATATAAAATTTATATACTGATAATACATCATAAATCCTTAATATAAAGTATATTAAAAAATTAAAAAATTATAATATTATAATATTTTTCTTATTTTCAAATGACGGCTTTTTATATAAAATAATATATTAGTGTACATATATAATAACAATTAAAATTGCAACATTTGGTTCTTTTGGCTTGGTGTAAGGGTAACTAAGCATCATTAGTCCTCTAAGGAGTAAGGTAATATATAGTTCTAATTTCTGCTTCCCAAATTATTATAAACCAAAATTAAACAAAGGAAACTAATTAATAAGTAACAAAATAATAAGTATCAACCTAAAGTTTTGTTCGTAATCATGAGTCATGATTACATTAATTCGTATAGTCCAAGAGATTTGACAATTCGGAATATAAAAGCATAAAAATCAATCTTCAACGACAGCATATTGAAATCTTTTACATATGAAGCACAAGTGAGAATAAGTAATGATTTAAATCTTAAATTTATTAAATAATATTTTATAAAATATCACATAAAATAATTAAATTAATCTTTAAATTCAATCACCTGTTTATTTAATAATCAATATTAAATTAATTTTCGAATTCAATCACCTGCTTATTCAATAATCAACTTTTTTTTTCCCATCTGAACCCAAAGAATTCGTTGTTATCTGCCAAGACAAAAGACACGTATTATTTTTTAATTAATAGTCACATTTAAGATTTCAGCTCATCCATCATCACCTCTTTATATGATTTTTTAATATATTAAAAATCAAATTATAATTAAAATTAAAATTAAAAATTTTATTAAAAATCATATTATTATCATCATTTTTATTATGCCCGACCAACCATTTCCTGTTTTTCTTATAAAAAATCCAAGCATAAATCCAAGTTATTTACTAGCTAAATCAGTTGATTATTTTTTTTTTATCAATTTACATGTTTTTGAAATTGATATTTAAAAATTATAAATTCAAAAAAATTCAAATGCGTAATGTTCCTTGATACAGATATATAATTAGATTAAAAAAATTAAAAATTAATTTAAAAAAAAAAAAAGAAAAAAAAGCTATGCCGGTCCACGCAGGCCGAGCCTTTAAAACTATAAACAGAATCAATCATAAGAATGACATGCAAACAATGTGCATTGAAATTAGTGTTAATCTAAAGACAAAAAAAAAAAAAAAACAACAGAAATAACAACTTCAGCAATGTCAGCAGTTGGGTGCCACGCAAAAAGTGAAACCTGAAAAATCCCTGCCGAAGAAACAATCGAACAGCCTCTTCTTACTTGGAAGTAGTGACACCAATAATTTTCTCTTATGCTGGCCAATAAACATGACCAAGAGCCAGAGGAAGAGAAAGCGGCATAAAGTTACCGGCTTTCGAGTAAGTTGCCTTTCCATTGATAGGGTTCGAGTCTTATCATTTTTTAAGACTACAATGGATGGAGACCTTTTTGCCACTGTCCTTTTTGGTTGATTTTTAGGTAAAATTTTCTGGATTTAGATGTAAGCTTCCAAAGGGATCCAAACCTTTTGGCCCAGAAATTGGAGCTATGCTGAGTATTTTTTAACAAAAATTTAATAATTATTTAAACTCTTATAATTTTATTACAATAAATTAAATTTTTAAATATCTATTTTTATCAATTAAGTTTTTATTAATTTAAAATTGATATATTGTAAATATCTAATTTTATTTAATCAAAAGCTTAATTTGAATGAAAATATATATTTATAGATTTAATTTGATAAAAATAAATATTTAAAAATTTAATTAATTCAAATTAAAAATTAAAAATTTAATTAATTATAATAAAATATCAAAAACTTAAATAATTATTAAATTTTTATTTGAAAGCTTTTCTTATCCTTTTACCTTGAATTTTTTTTTTTATTAAGAGGATAAGATGTTTTGAATTCCACATTTTAAATCGGAAATCACTTATCATTTTAACAAAATGCACTAATGTTAGTTAATTTAACTTTTATTGTGTATAAGTTTAATTACGTAATTATGTTTTAGTTGATTAATATTGTATTTTTTGTATTTATAATTTCATAAAAAGGTACAAATATATATCATTAATTTAAAAACAAAATAATAGTGAACACTTGACTAATTATAGTTGGTATACGAAACACTTCGTAATTAAAATAAATTAAATTACAATTTAGATTCCCTAATTTTAACATCATATCCCTCCGGCGCGCTTTATCCCTTCTTAAAAGTTAAAACCGTATTTTGAGTGAAGACCATCAGAGTCTTGCATTCCTCATTTCTTTGAGTGCTAACCTTTTTTTTTTTAATAAAAATTTATTTTTTTACATTTTATATGTAATAATTAAATTATAAATACTTATTTTATTAAACTCATAAATATTTTGTAATAAAATTAATAATTTTTTATTTAATTTATTTAAATTAAACAAATTGAATATATACCAAACATAAAAATTTTATCATTTAAACAAATCAAATTTAAATATAATAAATAATTACTTATGAAACATAGCCGCTTCTAAACAACTTTAAAAATAAACCATCAACCAATGAATTCATACATGTTTAGGGGTGTAATCGATTAAGTTCGAGTTAATAAAATATTAAGTTTGAGTTCGAATTTAATTTAAAATTTAAAATTTGAAACTTGTTTCGAATTCGATAAAATTTTATTTTTTTAATTCGAGCTCAACTAAAGATAAAAATTAAATTACTCAAATTTACTTGATTAAATTCGATTAACATAAAAAAATAAGCTTAATTTTTATATTCGATAAAAATACGATTATTTATGTTTGAATTTAAAATTGAATTAGAGATATTTTATTAATTAAAATAATTAAAATATATTTAAATATAAAAATTAAATTAAATTTATGAATTATTTAAATCAAATATAAAAATTTAATTTAATTGATGAATTAAATTATTTAAATTTAAATTTAATTTAATAATAATTAAATTAAATTTAAATTATATTCTAAACAAAGTACGAATAATTTATAAATAATAATATATTATTTATATTTATATATATGTCCGTAGAAACAGATAAGGCAAAGATTCTGAAGACCATCCTTAAAGTCCAAAACCCAGAAGTCAAATAGTACACTGGCTCCACATAACATGGGGTACAGTTACAGTTGAACTCAACAATTTCACACATTCGGATAATTTCTTCACTTTTCTCTGTTGTTGAACCGTGCCCTTCACTTCCCTCCTTGCGCGTTAACTTTCTATTAGCCCATTTCTACTCCTTTTGGCTTTAAAATACGCATTGGGCTCCCATGTTCTAAATTCTTTTCCTCAACTATAATTGTTTTCGCACACAAAAAAGGGGAAAAAAGTAGTAACAACGCAAAAAAATTGAAAAAAGAAAAACTGTAACCCGCTCTTAACTTCCTCGCATGCAACCGGAGCTCCGGCTCCCTTAACGGAGCCCCAGCTCAATTATCTCGTTTTCCCTCTCATTTAGATCTCTGTCCCATTGTCACTCTGTTTTTTTTTTTTTCCCCTCAGATCTCAGACAAAACCAAAAATGTCGAAACCGTGGGGTGGCATCGGCGCGTGGGCCGCGGAGGCAGAGCGAGAAGAAGCGGAGGAACGTGAAGCTGCGGAAGCCGCAGCCGCTGCGGCAGCTGCTGCGCCGAGGGCTGAATCGCAGAGTTTTCCTAGCCTAAGGGAAGCCGTTAGCGCGAAGCCCAAGAAGAAGAAAATGACCCTTTCGGAGTTCACCATGGGGACATATTCGTCGTCCGGTGGCCTCGGTGTTGGTGCTGCCGCTAGGGTAACAGAATACAACAGGCTGACCCACGAAGAGATGATGCACCTCCCGACCCGACCCAAAGAACGTTCGCCGGAGGAAATGCAGTATGGCCGTCTCGGAGGTGGGTTTTCATCTTATGGGAGGTCCGGTCCCCCCGCGGGTCGGGTTATGCGTGACAGTGACAACAGCGACGGGTCATGGGGCTCCGGAAGAAGACAGTATGGAGGTTTTGGTGAAGAACGACGGGGTCCGCCTTCTAGGGTTTCTGGTTACGTTCAGCCGTCGCGTGTCGATGAGGTGGATAATTGGGCAATGGCAAAGAAAGAAGTTCCTTCGTTTGATTCGGGGCGGCAAAATCGATACGGTGGGCTTGGAACTGGAGGAGGTGGTGGAATCTCTAGGGCGGATGAGGTTGATAATTGGATGACAGGAAAACGGCAGATTCCAGCTCGCTCTTCGACATTTGGTTCCGGTTTTCGTGACTCTGGACCGGAGCATGATAGATGGAGCCGAGGTGGTGGTGGTAGTGGATTCAGAGAGGAAAGGCCTAGATTAGTTTTGGATCCACCTAGAGGAGAAGTGAATGAACAGTTGGTTAAGACCAATAAGCCTAATCCTTTTGGGGCGGCGAGGCCCAGGGAAGAGGTTTTGGCGGAGAAAGGATTGGATTGGAGGAAGGTGGATTCTGAGATTGAAGCAAAAAGGGTAACTAGTAGGCCTACCAGCGCTCACTCCAGTAGGCCATCGAGTGCACAATCCAGCAGGTCCGAAGGTCCCCAGCCGCAAGGGATTGAAAATGTAGTGAAGCCGAGGCCAAAGGCCAATCCTTTTGGAGATGCTAAGCCTAGAGAAGTTTTGCTGGAAGAGCGAGGTCAGGATTGGCGCAAGATTGATCTTGATTTAGAACGTCGCAGTATGGACAGGTTTCCATTTCATGTCTCTAATAATTTTGTTCATAATTTATTGCGAAATGGTCTTGGTGGGATTTTGTTTGAATTGATTTTGACTGTTTCCTCTAATGTTGTTGTTAATGATGGTTTAGGAGATGCTTAAGTGCTTAGCATATTTGCTTCCTTATATTGCCTTAGCTGTTACCGCAGTGCTGATTGTTTTACACTCCCAATTAGTGGGTATATTCTGTTGTCATTAAGCAATCCTTTGTCGCTAAGACTTTGAACTGGATGTAGAACAGTTCAAATACTTGAGTATGACCTTAGATTTATTGAATGATGTTGCTTTAAACCTAGAAAATATAATTGTTCCTGATAGTTCTTAAAATAATTTGATCTTTTTGGTGCTTGCACAATTATTTCTTTGGAACCACTAAATTATAGTTCATGATCGCTCTGTTGCCATGAATTCAATGTGGCACTTGAATTTTTCTATCATCATTAACATTCCTCTACATCGATTCTTTATAGAAGGTTGAGTTGTTCTTATTTCGTAAGTGGGTGTTTCTGTATTGTGTAAAATGCAATATTTCGTGCATGGTGTCTCTCTACCCTGCTGGGAATTGAGTTGTTTTAAGGTCTGTAATTTTTTGGTTTTTTTGGTGGTGGGGGTGGGGGTGAGGGAGCAGAGTTCTAGGAGACATTGGTGTTTTTTGTGCTTACATCTTGATTATACAACACAGAACGGATTAGTTTAGTATGACAAATCTGGTCTAGCTGCAAATAACTGAATGAACTAAACAGATTATGTAGTGATTGAGCAGATTTTTTTTAAAGTTTGTTAGTGGCTGAAGTACTTGATGTTTGAGTCTAGGGCTCCATCTTAGAAACTAATTTTGCATCATGTATGAGATCCCAACAGATGTTTGGCTTCTGAATCAAGCTTGAGCAGCTTTTTCATGCTTTAAATTCAGGCGATGCTGCAACATTGAGCCCATTGCTGGAGAAAAAAATCAATATATATGTTATGTAGCTCACCCCTTAGGCCGTTTTGAGGAAGGTTTTATTACTAACATGTTTACTTCCATCGTGGGTAATGTATTTTGATTCAAAGCCCTGTGCACTCTATATCTGGAGGACATGCAAATCCCTCCTGCTTATACTAAAAGTTTCTAAGGCCTGCCTCATAGCATCTAAAAATTGTTTCATTTATGAAAATACAGCCAGCTCAATTTTGACTGAAATATATTCTTGGTTGTGGTACCACAAATATAGGGGCTTGTTGAATAAAAAATTACAGTTAATTCATTTTTTTCTTTTTGGGTGGGTTAGGGGAGTAAAATTTTTTCTTTCCTTTTCTGGCTGGGCCAGGGAATCCCTCTTTCTAATTTTCTTTATCTTGACAACTAAGCTTAGCTCTATAAATTTTTCCAAATTTGCATACATTTACCAAATTGAAAATGTTATAAGACAATATTGCTTTTGGTTTGTTATCTTTGCCACTTAATTGCCTTCTGTGCAGGAAGTCAACACAAATATACGATCCTTAACACTATTAGAAGTTGTTTGTATACTGAAATTACCCTAAGATTAATGTGAGGCACATGTAGGTAGCATATGCACCGGTAGTTACATAGGAAACAGTTATCTATTAACTTTACATTTTTTTTTGGTCCAAGATTACAGGGAATGATGATATTAATACCTTTTCCTCCCATCCCAGCATTTTGTTCAAGCACTCTGCCAGGCTTCTATGCTTCTCTAAGGCTCTTGAAGTGCTTATTTGTTTTAGGTCAAGTCCTTTTTTAGGCATTCCTTCTGTTTCAACCTTATTCCTTTTATTGTATATGTGATTTTTTAAAAATCTTTGTGTGATATTTCAATTTTTGTAGTTCCTTTATTTGGTTTTATTTCCCTTTGAGGTACCTTAATCCATCATCATTCTTAATTCATTCGCCAGATTATTAATGCAATATAGTTTTAAACTGCTGTTTCTTTATCAATTTCCTTTGTGATTTTCCATTTTTTTCCTGTGGTAATAATTGCTTTGTTGTATCAATGTGATTTCCTGTTTAAGGTTGTCATCTAGATGGTTTCAGATGACCCACATGTTCTATGTGGTTGCTCATCATTGTGTCTCAATTCCATTTTGTTCCTTTCTTTCTCACAAGCAACTTTTGAATATATTGCCCACACCATTATGTTCTTCATTTCTAATGAGAAAAATGTTTCAGACCAGAAACAGAGGAGGAAAAGATATTGAAAGAAGAAATAGATCATCTAAAGAAGGAGCTTGAGAAAGATTCAACAACAAATTCAGAATCTGCTGGGGACCAGCCCACTTTACGTGAAAAGCTACTTCACAAAGAAAGGGAATTAGAGATACTTATCCGAGATTTTGAGAACAAAGTTAGATTTGGTCAGAAAGCTGTTGAAAGGCCTGGTTCTGGAGCTGGCAGGATTGGCAGCTTCCCTGATAGACCACCATCACAGTCTGGGTCTATTGATGGCTCTAGAAGTGTGGAGTTCATGGCTAGGCCTAGATCTCGTGGTACTGCAGATGCATGGACAAGGCCTGGTGATGACCGAAGAGGATTTCAGGGAGGATTTCAAATTGGCAGGGATAAAGGATTTCTGGGAAGCAGAGATTTGGACAGGTAAGGATACAAAATATTACCTGTTTAATCTCTGCATGCCTTTCTGCTCTTCCTTTATCCAGTCTCCTGCAAAACTTGGCCTCCTTATCTAAGTATTATGTTTTTTTTTTTTCCTTATGCCCCTTCCCTTTTTATCACTTTATAGATATAATAAATAGGAGAATTTGCAAGTTTAGGAGAGTGTGAGAATAAAGTCCTTTTTCATGCAGACCTGAAGCTATTTTTATTTATTTATTTTTTTTGTGACTTGAAGCTGAGCAAATTAATAAAGTTCTTAAGACATTTTTTTTTTTCTTGTTTCTGTTTAATACTGATATATTTTGATGAAATGAAGTATATACCGTTACTTTCAATCTCTCAAATTCCATTATCTGTAGATCATCTTTTGAGATGTCTTAAGTAAATCCTGGCATGTGTTAACTCTTTCATTGCATTACTGGATGTTGTTTTGCCTAGTCTAATATTAGTCTGCATATGTGCTCATAGAAATCTGACTAGTCATATGGCCAATGAAATTATGTTGTTTTATATGGCAGGTCAAGGTCGAGGGAGAGATGGTGAACTGCGATTGGCATTGTTTTGTTAATTCTATCCTCTACTTTTCACCACCTGGACCATTAGTATTTTGTCTCCTCACTTCTTTTTAATTGTTCTTTTTGCTCTGGTAAAGTGGAGCAAGGATTCTTGAGTATTGGAGCAGGGAGCTCTGCGTTAATCTATTGTTACATCTTGAAATTATGTAAAATTGCCTTTCCGCCACTCTTTTTTCCCCCCTTCTTTTTGCCTTTTTCTCAAAGCAAGGAGCCTGTATTTCTTAGGACTCAAATACATTGTGGCATTCAGCAGTTGATTCTTGAGATTCCTTTGGAATGTTATACAGATGATCTGGTATATTATTCTTGAGGTTGAGGGTTGGTGATAATTATTCGGACTGTATTTTTGAAGAAAAGAGTGGTTGCAATGAAGTAGGGTAGAAATTGGCATTGGCATTCGGACTGTTTATGAAGCGGAGAAGGGGAAGTATATGCCTTTTCTTATTATTATTATTTTTTTAAAAAAAAAGGCTTTTTGGCTATAGAAATATATGTGGTTTGAGATGATGAAAAAGCCTCTAGAAATGACATCACGTTAACTCTTGACACTAGAATTGATTTTTTTTCAATTGTAATTGAACTTTTTATATTCGGTTTCTTTATTATAATCGTAAATTTGTACAGCTCATGAAGAATTTAATTTAATAATTGTTTTATTTTTAATTCATTTTCATCAATCAACTGACTGCTCATTGTTAATACATCTACGTATGTGTCCACTACGCTTCAATTATACCTGATTTAATAGTAGTACTAGTAACACTTAATTTCTCCATCTTGCTGGATTCAAAATATTCATGTACGCTTACTGTGATGATACAGATAATGATATGCGTAAGTTACCCGAAGTTGCGTGTCTTTAATTAAAATTTATAATTAAATTCATTTTTTTAGTACAAAAGATATTGCGTCTTGAAAATAAAAGATTTTATATAAATGTTATAATTTAAATTTTGTTGGTTATTATTTTTTAAATAAAAAAAGATTTTAAATATTAAAATTTTATATTTATTGAATATTATTTTTTAAAATTATCCGTATAAATTAACCGAATTAAAAATTTGAGTTCATTAAATTACTCAACTTTTTACGAAAGGATTACCTTATCTTAGTGTCTATGTGGGCTCGGTACAACTTTTAGTCATGGAGCCTTTTTTGCAGTCGCCAGAGCAACCATTAGGCAAACTATTTTTTCATCCAATATCATAGGGGTATAATACAATGGCTTCAATAGTCTGGCACAAGATCTCAGATATTTAATAAACAAGGTGTACTATTCTTTTAATTTGTTGGTTGTACTTTCTTGAATAGTCCTGGTCTTGACATCCAAATCATTTTATAATCTCACATGGCTGCGGCATTGGAGATATTGTTGACCAAGGAGGATAATTTCCCCCGTGCTTTGTGCTTCTTTGACATTTAGCCAAAACGATCTCACCACCGTCTACAAACTTAATTTGACAACAGAACAAGTAAAGGCTATGTTCAATTCCAATTGATCCAGTTTTCCAATCTAATTACGGTAATTAAGATTTCATTTATTTCACAAAAAATTGATTTGTATTTGAAGGTGTTTATTTAGTAAAAAATTTATTAATCAATGAAAAATAATTTACTAATCAATCTAAAATAAGGTCTTTTTTTAATTATCTTATGAATTTAAAAAATATATATATTAAAAAAATTATTTATGAGTAAAATTATTTATCAATGTTTTTGAGCATAGCTTATTTATAAATAATATTATATTAATAAATGAGTAATATAAAGAATAATAAATAATTTTATTTTAAGTATTTTTTTATATTAACATAATATTTTAATCTTAAATATTATTATTAAAATATAATTATTTTTTAATATTAATAATTTTATTAATAAATAATTTTAATATGCTTTAATAATAAATATATTCTAATATTTTAATAATTATATTAATATTATTTGAAAAAAATAGATTTTCTAAAAAATAACTATGCAACGAAAAGTATTTTTATTAACCCATTCAAATAATAAAAATCTCTTTCAATTTAAAAAATATAAATATTTTTCAAAAATTATTTTTCACAAAACAATCAGAATCTAAAATAAAAAATTTCAATTATAACCATAAATTTTTTTGTTATACTTTGATTGTTCTTTCCTTGACCTTCAAGTCAAATATACATTGATTGTTATGTCAGCGACCATTTCAATTAGGTTACCGCTTAATTTATATCAAATAAATTAACTAGACATGTCAACATAAATTTAATATAAAAAATAAAATCGGATATCAAATATTTCATTTTAAATCCTTCACTTTTATTCTACTTGCTTTTACTTGCTCTTTTATCTTATTTCTCTTTTCCTTATTTTTATTTATTGTATTTTATTAATTTGAGTATTGAAGTGTATTTCAAAATCTTACTTTTTGCATTTCTTGACTATTCTTTTTTTGTTTTTGATCACTCTAATTAGCAAATCAATTATCCACCTAACCTTCCACGGACTTTTAGTCATCAACTCAAAAAATTCATAAAAATTTTTTTTTTTTAAATAACTCAATTTTTTATTCAAACTCTCCATTTTACCAATAATTATCATAATCGAATCAGACAATAAATTGTTTAAGATTTCGAATCATCGGGTTAATAGTTCAACTGCTAGATCAACGAATCAATTGTCAGTTTAATAAAAAATATTATAAAAATATAAATATTTTAAAAATTCAAAATTTAAACTTTTAACTAAAGTTATAGTTTAATAATAATTCAACTATAAAACTAAAAATTTAAGTGTATTATAAACTGCAAATTTTAAAGTATAAAATTCATAAAACAATTTATTACTAGTTAGAAATGAAATTATTTAACATTTTATTAAAATCGTATTTTATATTTTAATAGTTTGAAATAATTTTTATATTTTAATAAATATAATAAGTATCAAGTAATAATAATATAAACAATTATTATTTATATTTATTAAAATATAAATATTATTTATTAATATATAATTTACATTTTATTTTTTATTAATTTTATATATTATTATTTTTATAATTATTTTAATTATAGTATCAATTAATAAAATTTTTTGTTAAATCATTTTTTTTGAAAATTACTTATTTTTATACATATATAAATTTTTTTACAATATCATTATTCACATATCTCAAAATATGTCAACATATATATTAGTATAAAGATGCAAGGACTTTGACAGTAAAAAATAATAATTTGAGGTTTATTTAGATTAAATAATTATATAAGGGTTTAATTAGATTATCTTGAATATTTGAAAGTTTTTTTTTTCATATTTTACCTAAACTTATTAATTAGTATTAAATCAGTTCAATTTAAAAAAAATTTTTAATTTATTGATTTATTATATAAACCGTCAGTTCACAACGATTTAAAAATAATTTAATTACAAAACTCATATAATATAAGAGATAAAAGAAGATAACAAGTATGTCATTTTAAATTTTTCGTTCTTATTTTATTTACTCTTACCTCTCTTATCTTATTTTTATTTACTGCATTTTGATAATTTGAGTGGAGTACACTTCAAAATCTTACCTCCAACGTTGCTTGACTACTCTTTTTGTTATCAATCACTCTAACTGCTAAATCAATTATCACCCAATCTTTCACAGACTTCCAGTCATCAAACCCAAAAAATCAACAATTTTAAAAAAATAATAACTCAACTTTTTTCCTAACTCTTCATTTTACCCTTATGCATTTGTGCCCTATATTTTTTTGACCGCCACTATTCATATCTATTCATATGGATCTGACACTTGTATTTTCAAAATTAACTCGTGAAAGACACGGACCGTATCCGGTAACCTAGCCTGAGTCCATTTAATGTAGGACTCAATTTCAGAATGAAAACTCTTTAACCAAACCATCAAGAAAACATAATTAGCTGATTTGCCCAAAGCAAATACTATAGAAAGTTAAAATTTGAAGCATCTATGATAGTAATCTCTGTGGCATAGAGAGCATTTAGGATACACAACATAGAGCTAATAGCCTCCCAGTCTGCTGTCCTGGACCTCTTCCCCGTAACTGCAGGCCGAGTAGACAAAAATGGTTGCGCCAATACGTTAGATGAAGTGACTCAGTATTTCAACCAGTGACTGAAACGACTTGTGGGTCAATTAAGGAATGACCTCTCTTTAGGCGCAATAACGTATGCCGTTGTCTATACTGTGAAGTACACTTTCATCAGCCAAGCCAAGAAACTTGGTAATCTCTTTCCTGGAAATGTTTTTGGTGTTAGATTTTTTTATGTTAGTTAATGACTTTGCTGGTTCACAGGATTCAAACATCCTCTGGTAGCTTGTTGTGGCAATGGTGGGACGTATATACCTATTCACGGTTAAAGTGAATGGCAAAGAGATGTTGGTAGCCAATTCATGCAAAAATTTATCATTTCGGATTAACTGGGACGGAACTCATTTAACGGAGGCAGGTAAGCAGCTAATTAGTGGATATTCGAACAAATCGCCAATGGCTTCTTTTCAAATCAACCGATTCAACTGAGAATGCCTTGTAACAGGATGGACCACTTGATAACATTCGGCTAGGTCCCTGATTTCACAATACAACACAACAATGTCTATTGATTTACCAAATGCATTTTACCGAATAAGTGATTAAAATGAACGTAAGAACAATATCATCTATTATTTATTGCAATAAATTGCACACTCAAATTTTTATTTTCATTTAATTGGATATTTAATCGTAGGCGCATATGATTTATTTAATTAATTTTCATTCAATCCAATATTCAATTAGATAAAAATAAATGTTCAAAAATTCAATTGAGTATAAATAAAATTTAATGATTTAATTTATTATAATAAAATAGTAAAAGCTTAAATGTAATTTAATTTTAATTAAGGGGTTAAAAAAAATTTAAGCTTTGTTGAAGAAGGATAAATTGATTTCTAAGACATGGATGCACCAAATTATAATAACAAGTAAGCCTTGCTTGGTAAAATAGACCAAAAAAAAAACAAGTAAAAGAAAGAAAAAATATTTAATCGAATGATTATGTTTTCCCTCGATATCTTTTTCATCCTTCCATTCCAGCAATAAAATTAGTAGCAACCAATCTCCCACCAATCATCATATCAGGATGCCCAGTAGCATGATGCTTAAAGGGGGTAACTGGAATCTTAGCCTGACTAAACTATCTCCTTCACCTTCAGCTGTGGAGGAGGGTACCTATCCTGTGGGGCAAGGCCGTGCCAATCCCTACCAGCTGGCCAATTCCTTGAGCATTTCCTTCTGCTTTTACTGATTTGTAATATTCCGGGGTACCCTATTATAAACCAGTGCTGAAGCGTTGGAAGATAGTTAAAAGCAAAGTTTGCTGCGAATGGGGAGAAAAAATTGATTGCAGATTCGATAGAAAGGTATATCACGTGCTAATGGCAAGTTTTTAGACGAACTAATTAGATTGAAAAAGGCCTTTCATGGTATGGAGTATGGACCACTCAGTCAGTGGAAATCTTTCTCCAATGTGACTAGGCCTTTTATCTTCTAAAGGAACTTTTCGAAAAGAAGCCAACAGACAACCTTTTTTACACAGTTAATAGGAGCCGAAAGGCTTGTCATTGGGCCTGTTTTCTGGCTAGCATGAGGAACCAAACTTTTAGGTGCCTTGTCCACCGCAAGGCCCGAAATTTGCAAAGTTCTTTTCTTTGGTCCTCCCTTTAGGTTACGGAGAGTTACAATGGCGTGTGTGACAAGCAAGCTGTTTTGGGCCAGCCGGAACTGTCATTTTCCTTTGTTTCTATTTCTTTTTGTGGTTTGATCAACCAAATCCACATGTACATGTTCAGGTGTTGATGCACATGCATGCATACATGTTCACACGTGTAACACATACATGAGATGGAAACATGTACATGCGAATATACTCAACAGTCAACATGATAATCAATTAATTTTTAACTTCAAAACTTGTAACCATAAATCATATTAAAGCTACTACAACCATTTATTGCAAAGGGGAACCACAGCTTCCATTTGCTGTACACGCACGCGTATACATGGGCTCAGGTAATTGGTGATTCCATTGATCACCATTTACTGCTTGTAATATCATCCCGCATGTAAGCTGTTTTTGCTGGATTCATATACATCAAGATTGTAAACACCGATAACATATATCTATATAACTCCATTAAAAAAAAAAACCAATTGCAAAGTCTTCATTGGTATTGGAGATTGGAGAATTATTGGAAAAATTCCGAGGTCGTCCAATCTGGCCTGTCCAATTCTGTCCAGCAGTGACTATCTTCCAGCATTTTTTTTTGCCTTTGTGTTGGTAACCAAAGCCTAATTAATCCGTCACTGCTGAATGGAGCTCAATCAAGTTGACTTGCCTTTGATTCATAGGGAATGATGCATGAATGACGATGATGTATCAAGAAACTACTCCTATAAATGCTCCATGCACTGTACAATTTTCATTCTACCTTCCAGGCATAGAGAAATAAGCAGAACCTGGAGGAACCCGTTGCATTATCATAATCTCCTGATGCTGAATTCACTTCCTGATTTGACAAAGGCAACGATGTCAATGATGATGATGATGATGGAGGGGATGATGGAGCTGATATTGATGATACTGGTACAGAAGATGATGGAATTGGGTTAAATATGAAAAGACCATTCCTTGGACCTGAACCAAAGAGCCAATCATGAACATCCCAAAAAACTTCTACTCCATTTTTGCCCACATTAATGGACTCATTGCCTCTAAATTTCCACTGAAGATAGTTAATCTGAATGGCTAGTTTCCCATCTACTCTTATCTCCAATACTGGATCAAACCCATCAGAGCTGCTGTTGCTGCTGTTACTATTGTTGCATTCGACTGAGATATCATGAAAGGCTCCCTTGTCATTAAACTTAACCCTTGTAGCGAACTTCCTCCTACCAAATATATGTTCCCTCCTGGAGACTAACATTGGTTCCTTAAGAGATGGCCTGCAACCTGTCTTTCTATAAGCGTCTTTCTTTTGATCACCCAGAAGTAATACAACCTCATATTCACAAACGATGGCAACACAGTAATCTGATTGCGGCTCGGTCTCACCATTGAATTTTGCAGCCTTGAGGTCCCAAACCACATCAACAGTCGTACCATCAACAATAAAATGCTTGGACCCTTGTTTTCTCCAGAAATACCAGGACTTCTGGAGACTAACATTGGTTCCTTAAGAAATATATGTTCCCTCCTGGAGACTAACATTGGTTCCTTAAGAGATGGCCTGCAACCTGTCTTTCTATAAGCGTCTTTCTTTTGATCACCCAGAAGCAATACAACCTCATCTTCACAAACGATGGCAACATAGTAATCTGATTGCGGCTCGGTCTCACCATTGAATTTTGCAGCCTTGAGGTCCCAAACCACATCAACAGTCGTACCATCAACAATAAAATGCTTGGACCCTTGTTTTCTCCAGAAATACCAGGACTTCAGTTCAATTTTGCACCTGCAATGCTCGTCCCCTCCAGGTCCTTGAACAGAAACAGATAGGCCATGCAGTAATAAATTCCTACACCATGTAACATTAATCAAGCGACACTGACCAGCAAGCTTTGTTCGATATGCTGACATAAAAACGCTCTGACCTGATCTGCCTACACTGGCTGGCACATCAGCTTGCCTCTGATCACTAGATGAAAAGCAAGCAAGAATTCCTATTGAGTCATGCATGATTCTCGATACTGATCTGATCAAAGAAGAACTGATTGGTTATTTGGGATTGGCAGTAAGATTTGGTTAAGAGTTATAGTGACAGAGGAATAATTAATGATTGTCACCAAGGGAAAGGGGGAGAGAGAGAGAGAAGAGAGAAACATATCTAATTATATAATCAATCTATCGTGTGCCAAGCCCTGTAAGGTTTTAGTCTTTTTCTCCCATTTCTTTCTATTTTCAAAAATCTTACTTACCTTTTTCAAAGTAGCCTGGCTTCAATGTAGGATGATGAGCCTTTTATTTGGGTAAAAAGCAGAAAAATATATGTTGGGAGCATTTGATGGTTAAAAAGGTATGTTGGTCTTTTTCCCTCTCAGGGACATAGTCAAGGTATTTTGGACATTTGTGCTGACTAGACCTGACACATTTAATATCACGTCAATTCAGCCACATCATTATTATCCTTGGTTGGTCCTTGCCTTTTATCTATAAATGCAGACATCCAAGCATTGTTAAGGCTTGTCCTTCCTAATACTAATTCCTTATTCTTCTCTCTTTCCAACCTCTTCTTTGACTTGCACCTCGAAGTACAAATGTAGGAAACATTCTTTGCCTTTGCCTCTAACTGTTTTTCTTTTCTGTCTTTCTAGGAACACCCACACATCGGAGTTCAGCACAAACATGTGGTGTGCCAGGTAAGGGACTTTTCCATTCATTAGCCGAACATGAAACAATGCCACATAGAAAGAGAACTTTGGAAGAAGGAAATGTGGCTACTTTGATCGAAACGAAAATGCACCATAGCTAGAATTTGGACCAACCTATCCCATAATAGGCTGGTTCGATCATGGAGTAGTGCTAGGCCTTCACCTAGCAAATACAAGCCCTTAAACAAATATTGCAGACCATAGCCCTACCACAAGCTTCAAAAGTGCTAGATTTAGTTACTCTCGACTGACAAGCTATGGAAAAATAGTCGAGTTACAAGGAGATGAAGGCCTCCACAGCTTCAAAAGAAGAATAGTGTAACACCTAAGCCTACCACAACTTGAGCCATAACACGACCCACACCATAGCCTAAAAATTCAAACAGACAAATATTGAGCCCTAGTTGAACAAAAACTTGAAAGCTTAGATGCAAGCTATAGAGAAAAAGCTAAAGGCAAAAGCAGTGGGCTTCGAGGATGAGCTCAAATTTTTGAAGACCTTGCTTTTTACCAAAGATATTGACAGAACCATGCCTCCTAAGGAGTTCAAAATGCCGACCTTAGAAACTTATGATGGTACTTCTGACCATTTTAATCATTTAAAATTTTATAAAATTAACATGATGATGCAGAGTACGGATAAAGCTTTGATGTGTAAAGGCCTCACTACCACCCTTAAGGGCACAGCTTAGTCATGGTATAGCAGTTTGGAACTGAGGTCGATCATAACATTTAAAGAACTCAGCCACTCATTTCTGTCTTGATTTGTAAGTAGTCCAAGAATAAAGGAAACAACATTGAGCTTAATGTTAATCCACCAAGGTCATAATGAATATCTGAAGAGCTATGTTAGTGTTTTAACGTGAAAGCTCTGTAGGTAAAAAACCTAGAGCAAATGATCACTATTGGTGCTCTAACAAGTGGACTCAATGACAAAAAGTATCACCTGAAGTTGACCTTGTCATTAAAGCCACCTAAGACTCTGGCTGACGTCTTACTTATAGTTGAAAAATATATAAATGTCGAAACTATAATGAGAAACAATCGAGATGAGAGAGGCTCATCCTCTATCCTCGACGATCGAGGTGAGAGAGATTCATCCTTCTTTCTAGGTCGTAAAAAAGGTAAGAATTTTTATGATTCTCCCGTAAGAAAGAAGTAGTATAGGGTTAGAAGCCTTAGCAGAAAAAAAAATTATACAGCACTGAAAACTTCTCAAGAAAGGATTCTAATGCAAATTGAGAGAAACACAAAGCTCCGATGGCCAAAGTCATTGATATAGTACAAAAAAAAAGATACAACCAAAAGATGCACCATTTATAGGGACATAGGCCACAATATCGAAGATTATGTTAGCCTAAAATAATGAGATTAAAACCCTGATTAGGAGAAGTCAGTTGAAAAGATTTATGGAATAGTGAAGACAAGATCAAGCTAGATCAGGATGTAGACAGAATCAAAGAAAACCCACTAAGGACAAAGAAAGTAGGCCAAAAAAAAAAAAATAAAAGGGGAAAATCTAATAAGATAAGCCAAAATAAGAAGAAGGTCATCACTGGAGTGATTAATATGATTATTAGAGGAAGTTCAACCTCGGCCAAAAGAAAGTTCAACCCAAGAATGATCATAGCCGTGGGTTCTTCAATAAAAAAAAGATTAAAAAGATGAATTGATCTTGTTTAGCTCGAAAAATTTGGAAAAAAAATTTAGTACCCACATGATGATGCTATAGTAATCACAACTATGGTATATAATTATGTAGTTAAAAAGATCTTGTTTGATAACGAAAGTTCTACCGACATCATGTACTATAGCACCATAGAGAAGATGGGAATTAATGAAGATCATCTATAACTGATTGTTACTATTTTAGTAGGATTTGAGAATAAGCAAGTATTAGTAAAAAGAACTATTAAATTGCCAACTCTCTAGGCACAGAATCGAAGACTATTACCTCTGTCATAGAGTTCATGGCTGTGGATGTTTTATTTACCTAAAATATGATATCAGGCCAACCTACTTAATCTATTATGCGGCTCATAGGCTTAGCTCCCTATTTGAAAGTAAAATTTCTAACAACTTAGGGGTATGGAGAAGTAAGGGGGACTAGTCCATAGTACGATAGTGTTATGTCACTATAATGAAGAAAAAGATTAAAAAGTAGACTAGCAGTTTGATTGAGACTAAGAATGTCGAAGAAAAGCAAGCAAAAAAAATTGAGAAAAAGTACAAAAGTAAGAGCGAAAAAATACAACGTAAGGCCAACCTAACATAAGTGTGCTCTTAAGCTACTCCAAGCTTTTAAGCTCAAATGAAAAGACTTCTTTTGTTTTGTTTTTTAAATTTTTAAAATTTTAAAGATGACTAAACTCTCAAGTCGGTACAAACAATTACATGACATTTGGATCGGGCTAATACGTCGACCAATACATAGTTTGAAATGAAAAATACATACTAATTCAATCATGTATGCTAGCAAGTTACCAATAATATACTAATCATTATATCAGGATCTACCTTTGCAGAAAATAATCCTGAACTAGTTGAACAAAAAGATATAATTGACCAAAGATTAGGCTTGAACAAAAATCAACCTGAACCGATAGAAAATCTTGTAACTATACTGTTCTGAGATAACATCCCTGAAAAACATGTACATGTGAAAAACTAAACTTAAGCACGAGGGATAGTTAATTCAACTTTTGAGAGATAATGTCAACCTTTTTGCTTAGACACCATCCGCTTAGAATCGATATTGAGGTAATTATCTATAGATTGCACACTAACCCTGATGTAAAACCAGTAAGGCATCTTTTACCCCAAAAAAAGAAAACTTTTACCCCAAAAAGATAGAGGACTATCGAAGAAAAGGTTGACAGACTATTATAAGCAGGCTTCATTAGGGAGGTTTATTACCTTGAATGGATAGCTAATGTAAATATGGTAAAAAAGCACAGCAAAAAATAAAAGATATGTGTTGACTTTACTAACATGAACGAAGCAACCCAAAAGATAGTTTTTTTTCTCTCCAACATAGATCGACTAATGGATGATAGTACCAAGCATAGGCTTCTTAGCTTTATGGATGCCTACTTTAGCTATAACCAAATTAAAATGTTAAAGAATGGTAAGAAAAAATAGCTTTTATTATTGAGAAAGGCTTTTACTATTACAAGGTGATGCCTTTCAGATTAAAAATACATGGGTGACCTATCAAAGGCTAGTTAACAAGGTCTTTAAAGATCAGATCGATTGTAACATAGAAGTATATGTAGACAACATGATAGTTAAAAGTAAAAGTTTGCCCGAGCTCTTGAAAGACCTCGAAAAGACCTTTAGCACCTTAAAAAAATATAATATGAGATTTAACCTGAGTAAATGTACTTTCAAAGTTATATTGAGAAAGTTTTTCAATTATATGATAGATAAGAGAGGGATAGAGATGAACCCAGAAAAGGTCTAGGCAATCTTGAACATAAAAGCATTGACCTCGATAAAAAAGGTACAGAGTCTAACCAGAAGAGTAATCGCCCTAAGTAGGTTCATGTTTAGGTTGATAGAATGATGTCTTCCATTCTTTAAAATTTTTAAAAACATCTTTGACTTTAGGTAGACCTTTTAATGCCAGAAAGCTTTTGAAGAACTCAAAGAGTTTTTATGCTTTTCACCTATCTTGTCTAAGCCAAGGTTTGACGAGACCTTACACCTATACATGGCCATCACAAACCAGGCTATCAACTTGGTTTTAGTCTAAGAAGAAGAGAAAAGGTAAAGACCAATTTACTTTATGAGTAAGGTGTTGACAAGGCTAGAAATAAACTACGGCAATATAGAAAAATTAGCTTATGCAGTTGTCACCTTGACCAAAAGGCTCAGGTTGTATTTTTAAGCTTTTGTGATCTATTTATTAATTGATCAATTGCTATGACAGGTCTTATAGAAGTTGAAATTATCATGAAGATTAATTAAGTAGGCAATAGAGCTCAATGAATTTAATCTACATATACTGCCTAGGTTGACTTTGAAATCTTAGGTGTTAGCAGATTTTATTGTAAAGCTTATCTTAGCCCATCTTGAAGAATGACCCAAAAAAGATGGGAAAACTTCAGATAAGGACAGGTAAATGTTTTTTATCGATGGATTGGCCACAAAACCACAATAGAGGAGCTGCATTCATTTTAATTAGTCTAGAAGGATTACAATATCAATACATCATGAGGTTTAGATTCAAAGAGTCTAACAATGAGGTGGAGTATGAGGGGTTAATAACGGGTTTAAAGTTGGTAGTCAAGTTGAATATTCAAATATAACCATATATAGAGACTCTTAATTAGTGATCGATCAGATAAATAGAGAGTTTGAAGCTGAAAAAGATAGGATTAATAAATAACTAGACAAAGCACTAGCCTTAGTCATCGATTTTGAGAAAACTGA